TGAATGTGGTCATCCCACATTCAAACCATCCAGCCCGTGTCGGTGCCGTACACCTCCCTGCCGGTGTGATCACGTGGTTGCGCGGGTGGTGACGCAAGAGGTCTTGGTAGCACCCATCGCAAACGCAAAGTGCTAAAGCCGCCACTTCAGCACTTGCGATGGGTGCTACCAAGACCTCTTGCGACACCGCGTTGGCCCACCAGAGCCACCACGACATTGTGACCCACCGAGCGCACAACATAATGTTAGCTGTAAGGGGGCAACCACTAAGGGGAGAACCACATTGGACATAGTCGGAGTGCACTCATTAGTGCACAATTCTCTGGAGCAGCATCACTGTAACGTCTTCTGTTATAGCCAATCGTGTGTAAGAAACAAGGTGTGATGGATTCTGATTGGATATTAAGAAGGAGCAAGGCGGCTCACCTTGCGAATTCCATTAACAAGTCATTAATTGGCATACACCGCCATTAATTGGCACTTTTACGTTCGAGTTACGGAGTCGCCGGTACAAGACGGATATACTGTACTTCTTCGTAGTACGTATACTAGGTAACCACTATTCGTATACCACATCGAGGCGAGAGGACATTTGATTCGAGTTCATTTTGTCGTAGCAGACCATTTTATTCAGGGGCTTACAGTCAACGACAAATTTTAAGGGACACCGAAGATATCGACCACGTCGAAATCATATTTAAAATTTCGAACACCGCTTTCGGATTGGTTAAAAAATTCTCTCTGGCGCGAAACATTTTAAGTTCCCGAGCACACGACAACAACCCAGTCATTTTGAGCAATGCCACCTTCTAGTCGCAGCAAGATCAGCCCGCAAAAGAAACCACGACGGCGCTACACTCGTGCGACCAAGCTTGCCATGGTCGTCAGGATGCATTCAGCGTGAACACATGACCTTGAGGCCTCGACGGGGATACCGAAGAGCAACCTTGCCCGATGGGTGCAGCAGGCCCACCAGCTCCTCAATGTCAACGGACCATTGAAGCGCTAGAACCTGGACGGCGCTGGCCGTCCCGTAGAAATCCCTGACAGCGCGGCGCTGGAAAGCTTCATGCACAAGCTGCGGGATGCCGAGAGAGCGCTGACGTGCACCCACCTTGTCAATGTCCAAAAGCGCAACAATGGAACGTGGCTCGCCACCTACTTGGCGGAGAAGAACTGTGGGTACCTATCGTTCCTGAAGCTGCTCCAGCGGTTCTGCCATCGCCATCGCTTCACGCGACAGAAGCCAGCGAGGTCCAAGAAGTCTCAAGTGGAGCTGGCAACCACGAGGGCTACGTTTGCAGCCGACTTTCACAAGGCATTCGACGGCTTCGCTTCCGACTCGATCATCAATACCGATGAGACCGTAATGACATACGACATGCCACCCAACGCCATCTGGTCGGTTCGTGGTGGCATAGCTAAGATTGCCACCGGCGAGAAACACTCGTATCGAATGACGGCTGTGCTTTCTGTGCGAGCGAACGGGGAGAAGCTGCCCATACTGTTTAGCATGTGCGGCAAGCCCGGCGGTGACATCGAGAAGGGTGAGTTCGACTCCTTCCCTATTGGCCACCACTACGCGGTTCAAGAGAGCGCGTCGATGGACTCGCGTGTTTGGGCAATTTACCTGCGCAGGGTGTTGAAACCACATATTTGGCAGCCGTCGATATTGTTGCTTGACAATTTCGAACCCCATGTGAGCAAGGAAGGACACAAGATTGCCAGTGAGGAGGCCGGGTGTGTCGTGGCAGCCATTCCTCTAAATGCAATAAGCGTTGTTGAGCCTTTGGACGTCGGGATTATGGCCCCATTTAAGCGCCACTTGCGTAGTTTGTGGTTGGAGGAAGAAATCATCGAGGGTAGCGATAGCGAGGAAGATGTAGATCTCATGACTGTCCCGGCACAACAAAAGCGTCTGACTATGATTCATCGTGCCATAAAGGCATGGGGTCGTATTACGCCGGCGGAAATCCGTCGTAGCTTCACCAAGGCTATTCCTCAATAAAAGAGTTTTTTGTTTTTAAATTGTATCTCGGGAAAAAGTTCACGCGCCTGGGGCTCACTCAAGACACACAACGTGTTTTACCAATGTGCTATCGCGTCAAACGCTTATCCTTGTAGTCGTTTCATCGAACCGTTAATTTAAAGTGTTCGAGTATTTGAAATTCTCGGAAGTTCATCGTTTGTTGTTTGGTTGGGCACAATTCATGCCGAATTTCGAAGTAGTTTGGCCAATCATATTCCGATATGATCAGAAATTCGAAGCATGAAGTGTTTCGAAACGTTTCGGGGTTTCGGGGTTTCGGGGTTTTGCGATGAATTTTTGAAGCATTTATATTCAATTAAATAATTATCATTTATTCGTGTCTTTGAAACGATATGACCCTTTGCGCTTCCTGTAGTTGGTGGTCTGGTCGATGCGCGGCGCTCTCACTGTATGGCACAGGTACCATCGGGCTCGGACACAGGCCAAAGCCTTCATGGCCACCCATTCCAAAGCGTATCATGGCGCTAACAGCGCTTCGACCACCGACCCCGATCCACTCGATCCATCGACCCTTGTGGCGTTTTGCGACGGAAGTGCCCTGGGCAACGGCAAAGCCACGTGCAAAGCCGCGTTCGCGTGTGTGTTTCCTCACAACGAGTCGTGGAACGTCGCGGAGAAGCTGCCGTCTTTGCAGGCAGCAGCGACCGCCACCAACAATCGCGCAGAGTACTTGGCGGCCCTGGAAGCGCTCAAACGAGCCAACGTCCAAGACCCGAGCCAGAACCAGCCGCTGTTCATCTTCTCCGACAGCATGCTACTCATTCGATCCATGACGGAATGGTTGCCCACGTGGATGAGTAAAAACTGGCGAAAAGCAGACGGCAAAGAGTAATGCGATGAACTTGACTGTGGTTCTTTAACCAAGTGATATTGATTAGGGTCAAGAACGTCGACTTGCTCCAGCAACTGACCCTCACCAGAGGACGAAGGCGCGTGCTTTGGCGACATGTGAAGGCCCACACAAACCAACGGGATTGGAAGTCCACTTGGAACGATAAAGCCGACCAGCTGGCTCGGTCCACGGCCCAGTCCTAGGCAAAGTCACGAGATCCAACCCAATTTGGTTGCTTTTCCCTTCACAATTGTGCAAGTCCCCGTACATTTGGCCACTTATGGCATTCATTCGCACTACCTTATACGAACAAGGGTTTCAGAGTTTCCTGAACCAGTCGCCATTCAAAGCAAAAGCAAACGAAACGTGGCAATATCAGCTTGTGTACAGGGATTTTTGTTGTGATAGTGTTAGACGCAACCTTTCTTGCTGCTTTCACAGCCAAAGGTAACTAACTATGCATTATATTGAGCAAAATGCATTGTTGGCTTGCAAAATCGCGTGCAATGTCGATACCTTGACCTTTTTGGCGTTGATGTTACTACATTCCGCGGGGGGCACATGCCGTTGCGTGAGTATGTCGAACGCTTCCAGGTACACTCTTTGGATATTCCACTTGGACAGCTTGCTGATGTCGACTTCCGACGCCGCCAACTGCATGCCCAAGGCAATCTGCACCAGTTTGGCCATAACTTGTCGGGTCAAATGAAGCTGCTGCTGCTGGTTCGGTAAAATGTATAGATGTCGAAAGGGGCGAACGCCACTTTGCGGGTCTCCGAGGAACCAGGCCAGCCATATGTTGAGACAGGACCAGTTTGGCAGAGTCCAGTGCTCTGGGACACTGTGCAGTGCAGTGCCGTCGGCCCACTCGAACGTTCGTGTCATGCGGTCCCGCTGATCCAGCGCAATGAACGTTTTACAAGTGCTGCTTCGACGCACAGGCTTGGCGCACTCGCCGACCGCTTGGCGAATTTCGAGGTGGGCAAAGGCGGCGTTGAAGACGTTCTGGCATTCTGGCGGCCGGAGCTGGGTGATGGCGTCCTCTGAAGCGGCCAATCCGGTGGCTACGGCAATGCTCGTCAACTCCGCCATCACACGTCGCGCCCGCATCATGTACTTGCAATTAAGAGCTCCTTTTACATCGTCCACGGTGAAATGTCGATACGGCCCAATGCGCCGCTTGGGCGCTCCGTGGAACCACTTGATCCACAGGGTGTCGCAACCCATATTATCGTACTGAAAGTCCTCGGGCAAGCGATGCTTGGAACCGTCTGACCATTCATGGAGATAGTTCGCCGAGGATGACGCTGACACGACAGCAACAGGTGCGGAGGGGGACTGTACAGGGTCGGTCAGGCGGTGTCTCGCTTCAATCGTTGCCACATGGGCGTGGAAGCGCCTTTGGCTCGCAGCAGACCGTTGCAAGGGTTTACCAGGCAAAGACTGTCGAGGGGACGGTTCCATGGATTCTACGTTAGAACTCGGTGGGCTTGCCGAGCCCATCGACGGCGCCTGACGATTCACAGGACGGGCTGGCTGCTGTGCACGGATCGAAAACCGCTTCCATGTCGCAAGGTTCCACGCGTCGCCTCGTTCTCGCGCGAGTCTTCGTCGCGCTAAGCACGCTCCATGTGGAAGTCTTGTCGCATCAACATCTCGTCGTTGTCGATGATTGCCGCAGCGCCGCGCGCCACCCATGGTAGTGTGTTTGGGATTTACCCTTCTTGATGCCATGTTCTCTGACCAATCAGTAGAAACGTTCGAAAGATGATGTTTCACTCTCTTGAAATATCCAATCCAAGTTGACCGAAACGAACCAATCATGGCTGAGTACTGGTGGTTATGTCGCTTCAGTTGACATCAACCAAAAAGTCAGTTTGATGCAGGCAGCAGCGACCATGCACGGGTTCTGGGGACCTGTCACGAGCAACATGGACTGGTAAGACGACTCTCCGTCGGGCATAACGTCAACATTCACGTGGGGTTCATTCTCTAGGTGTGAAGACAACTACGCGTGGTCGCACTACGTTGCAGAATGGTGGAACACATGGAGGTAGTACACACCCACCCTCCTCATCGTCCCTTGGGCCCCGATGACTGTATATCATGACACTTGCCGAGTAGCAACGTGCCGTGGATTATCATCGCCGTCTACGCCATGCACAAGTCCAGCCAAGCGTTCGCGGAGTCGAGCCAGCCGCCGTCAATTCGGCGTGCGTACTGGGTGCCGCTGATTGTATTTAGCGGGTCCTTTGCCTTCCACGTGTCCTTGACGCATGTTGGCCAGCAGCTGGACGAACTGCCGATGTTGTACGGTTGCTTTTACTTTCATTACGTCACGCTGCGTCACCATCGCGGCATGAAAGTCGCGGCACTGGGGCTTTGTGGCGTCATGACTGTGTTGATGCTGCTCTTTCGCCACTCGATCGTGCCGTTCATCGTATCGTACGCCCTGCTGGTGCGCATTCCATCTCGTTTCACTCTTGTATGTAATACTACCACTGTATAAAAATAGGTTATTGGGTTGCTCGCACGCAGCTACATGCTCATGAACACGTACAAAACCCTGCGGCAAAGTCAAATCCTCCAACGAGGGTTCTACCTGTACATGGTTGGGTTTATTCTGTGGGTGATCGACCAGCAGTTTTGCGAGGTGGTCAAGCCGCTGCACCTGCATGCGTTATGGCATGTATTCTCTGGCGCTAGCACGTTCTACTGGATCCAGTTTGCATGTGCACACGAGTTTATCGTGACCAATCATGGCCTCCAAGTCCGAAACATTGCGACCGTGCTTCCCTTTACGACAATGGGAAAACAACTTCAGTAACAACAGCCATACCAAGTTTGGCGAGTCTGAAAACGCTAATTACCGTACATTGGGTGGTCAGAATCTCCACGGAACGTCCTCCGTATAGGTAGGTGCTATTCATACAGTACTCCGTACTATAGTATTAATATAAATAATACTGTACTACCAATACACGTTGTATTGTCAAGTCGATTCGAAAAGGCAGATTCTATTAACGTTACTCGATCAATTTTTCACCAATCGAACTTCTGAACCGTAACTTCTGTTCGGCTTGTCCAGTTCTATCGTTATTAGCGGCTTATTTTCCTAAAAAATGTTAATACAAAGTTGGAATAGCTGTCGAAAGACAAGGCCTTTTTTGTAGTCTTTAGATGACTTGCACCATAGTGTAGCAATTTCCGTTTGGGCCTCACAATCTCCTCGATATCGCGCCGACAAGCGCCAAAGAAGGGTGACATGAAGATATAGGAACCCTTAATGTGAATGAGCCACGGAGAGGTCAGATTGAGCTGTAACTACAGGCATGTATTGGTTTACTTATCTCGTTGAAATCAATGAGAACTGCATAGACCGTACCGAAATGGTAGTAGTATACAAACTTTCATATAGCTCACTATGAGGAACCATATTGATTGGAACAACCAGTTTTCTTTCACGTATTAATACTTCGAAGTAATTGAAGTGGGGTGCTTACATACTGTATATCGAACTAATCGACCAATCAAAACCCAGATCATTAATCGTGTAACGTTAGCCAATCAAATCTGCTCTTTGACCAATACAATATCTTGTGACCAGGGATCGTCAACAATATATTGACGTATCAATAATTGATAATACTATTGCGGGCAATAATGTACGAGCCTACCAATATCAATAATATTGAACAATATAAAATATTGTATTGTTCAATATATTGTTCAATATATTGAACAATATATCAAAAACCAGGCACCCCACACCCTTACAAAATCGACCAAAACGTGGTTAAAGGCATGACGCACAACATGCAGCAGCCATATAGCCTAAAATCCCTCTATAACGCAAGATAGAGAGCTTTAAGGATCCGGAGTAATTACTCGATCTAAAAACAATTAGTATGGACTAGGACGGTTTGAAATCGCAAATTCGAAAAATAACCTGAATTTAATTAAAGCAATACTAAAACCAAGTGATTTTTCGGTGTAGAAGGCAATAGATACAAATTTTAACTTTAAACCGTTCTAGTCCATACTAATTGTTATTAGATCGAGTAAGTACCAATGGTAATGTTGTTGCCAAGTACATTATGAAGGACATCTTCATTTTTTCCTAACCGTAGAATTGTTTTCGTACGGAGATAGGAGCCTTCTCCGAAGCCTCACCCATGTATAACCTATTTAACGCATATTTAAGCTTGAAGTTTGTATACTTTGAAGCAGCGTTAAAGGATTCTGACATTGAATTCTCCTCGAAAAACTGTCTTGGCACACTATGCCTACAGTATTTTCTGAAATTTCATGACAAAATTCACTTGCTCTAAGTATCGAATTCTTTGGGGTATGATGACTTTTGAGACCCACTATACAAGGTAATGAAGATGAAAACGATGAAGACATTGACGAAGATGATGAAGACATCGGATCTGACTTCGAGTAAATCGAGCCTGAATATATTGAGCATTATTGTCAATTCAATACAATATATTGCAATTATTTATTGTTCGACTTGCCCAGAACAATACAATACACAATACAATATTGATAAGGCCTGCTTGTGACTACTTCAATTAGTGTGACACTGGGCGGTTTTTACATACAAAAGTCAGAACTACGTATGATTAATACTACGTAGTATTAATACTTCGTAGTATTATTAATAATAGCACAAACTATACAGTATTTGGTGAATCAGCACAAAAGTCCAAATTTTGGGTAAAAGACAACACACGTATGCCGAGAAACCCTCCTAGAGTACTTCAGTTGGGCATAAACTGGTCCTGTGGCTACAATACACTGGTATGCACACCAATCACCACATTGGAGTTGAAGTGCTTGCATGGTTCAGTAGATGAGACACATCAGGGAGGTCCTGTAGTATATATCCACACATTCGGTACATATAAACCTGTTATCTATTGCTGCCGTCGACTACCGACAAGTCTTCGACCGGCGCACTTCTACCTCTACCAGCCAACCCAACGCACAAGCGACTACAAGAGCGACTTGGCGCTGCTCTTGAGCACACTGACAATCTCCGACGCCTTGCAATCCATCGCAGCATCCGCTTTGGACGCGCCTTTGTCCACGAGCTTGATCCCGCACTCGTTGAGGAACCCCTTGCCTGGTTTGCCATCGAGTCGCAGCTGGGCTTTGATAAACGCCACAGGGACTGATGGCTGGTACGCCTTGCACATGATTTTCAGCGCTTGCAGCCGCATGTGATTAGCATACGCGTCCATGAGGTACCCAGTCATCTTGGGCGGCGCGTCGTACAGGTTGAAGAAGCTCGGGTAGTTGTTGGCAAACACAGCTTCCCGAACTGCCAGTGCGTGCTGCACGGTCGCATCCTGGCGGTCGGCGGGCCGCACCAGTGACAGCGCGCGGTACATGCCGACGTTGCCGGCGTTGTCCGCTTTGGCTTGGAGGCACACATAAATAGAATACAAAATGCGATACGCGAGAAACTCTAGACGGTGGGGGCTGTCGACGCCGTGCTCGTACAGCTGCGCCAGTTGGGTTTGGCATTGGTTGAACTCGTTCATGTCGCCTTCTTCGAGGGCGATACGCGCATGGGTTTCGTACACGAGCACCGTAAACTCATTTTTAATGTGTTGTACCTACGCCGTCATCGTTGTTTGAATATATATATATATATATATATATATGTTTCGCTAGATGTGGTGCGTACCGTGCAGTCTTGGCGAATAGACTTCATTTGGCTTACCACATACAGATAATCACACGTACCTTGCTTCCACTTGAGTCGTACTAGGTCCAGTGCTTGCTTCAATATCGGTTCCGGACGCACCGCCGATGGAAGTGGGGCCTAAGTACCAACATATGATGTACCCGTTAGCATAATATTTGGCTCGATGATGGGCCGGGTGCATCCAATTGTTCGATATATATATATATTGTCCAGTCGATTCAACAGACAGTGAGTGGGGTAGAGACAATCGATCAAATTCAAACCAATCAAAACCCACAACACAGATCCAGAAGCCAATCAAACTCGCTCGTTTGAACAAGATAAGCATGTACTTGAAATATAAGTGTGAAAGGCGACTCTAAAACATTCAGGACTGAAAAAGTCGATGTATGGATTCGCCCAATCAACCCAATATATATATATATATATATATATATCACGCACCGACGTCAATCGAAGGTAGTCCTTTTCGACTTTGACGCACGTGCCACGAATGATCATCGCGTCCAAATCGAGCTCGCCCTCGTCGTTCAGCACTTGCAGGGGACCCGCGGGCTCGTCGTCGGCCGTTCGAAATGCGTTCGCATGGAAATTGTCTTTGAGAAACCGTTGCTGCCGCTGCAGCTTCTTCTGCTCCGACTGGCCATACTCTGCGTCCATGTCGGGCTTGCGCTTGGTGGCTTTCGACTGTTGCTTCTTCATGGACGTGTAGTCTAACGGGATAAAGCTATCGGAAAAGGGAGAGGGTTTGGTGGTGTGCGGCGGACGCATCATGGGCGGCCGAGGGGGTGGAACCAGGCCCCGAGCGGCCATCATGGGGGGTCGCGGCGGAGGCGGGCGGAGGTGCGGCATCGGACCAGGAGGGGGCTGGCTGAAGGGGGTCGCTACGTGGGCGCCGTGCTGCAGCGGCAAGATTTCCACATCCCAATTCTTTGTCCACAGGTTGTTGGCAGTCATAGAACTTGAGATTTTCTCCTTAAGAATGGACTGGACAATAGCTTTGTCGGCATCACTACGGCATTTGGCAAATGCACGTTCAACGTACGACTTGAGCGAGGTGGGCCATTGGCTTGCTGTGACTGGAGTTGCGGCGGCGGGCGAGGTACTTACTTTGTCCTGGAACGCCTGTGGCGCGTACGGTCGTGGAGGAGCGCTAGCGATGGTGACGGATGGACCAAACTTGGAACCCTGATGTTGCGGTCGAGGTGGTGGGCGCGGCATGGCTTTTCCTGTGTTCCATTGCCATTTGGCGGTGGGAGAAGGGTTACTAGACGCTACTGATATACTACTGGGAGCTTCCGAAGGTGCTGCTGCTCGTGGAATACGGTCCCATCGGCTACCGTTCGTCTTCGCAGCGGGAATCGGACGGGGCGGACCTGTCAAGTGCGATGGTCCCGCAGGTACCTGTTGCTGTGGAGTCGCGTACTGCTGGTAGGCTTGATGCGGATTCTGATAGGAGAACTGCTGCATTTGCTGTGGAGTAAACGGTGGACGGAATGGAGGGGGTCGTGGAGGAGTGCTAGATGCATAGAATTGCGCGTACCCGGCGAACTGGGCGCCGCTTCCTGACGGTTGCTGCGGATTCATCGGTAATCGCCACCAGTTCCTTCTTCAGAGTGCCGACCTGTAGAAACGGATATTACCCGACACGGCATTTTACACAGGTTTTTGATCGATCGGATTGGCTAAATATGGGTACATTTTAGCCAATAATACGAGACTATTTCATGATTAAACAGCCAAATCCTGAAGTGAAAAAGATGATGAACCGAATGGGGAAGCTGTCTGTGCTATTGTCCTGCTTGCCGCCCATGGCGTCAATGAATGTTCGACCGGCGTCGCGTGGATGGTCGTCTGCCCACGAAGCGTGTCGCATGATGTCCTCCAAAGACACTTTGGTCATGTCTGAAGCGGATTGGCAACGCAAGCTCACCCCAGCACGCTTTCGAATCTTGCGTCTCAAAGACACAGAGTACCCTGGCACAGGAGCCTTCAACAAGCACACGGACAAGGGCGTGTACACTTGCGGTGGATGTGGGACTCCTCTCTACACATCCGAGCACAAGTTCGACGCGGGATGTGGCTGGCCTGCGTTTTTTGATGCTGTGCCCAATGCGGTGAAAGAAATCCCAGACGAAGATGGCCACCGAACCGAAATCGTGTGCGCTGTATGTGGGGGCCATTTGGGCCACGTATTCAGGAATGAAGGGTTCCCAAACCCCACCAATGCTAGGCATTGCGTGAACAGCCTCTCGTTAGACTTTGAATCCGACGAGCTGTAGTTAACCTTTGGCATAATTTCATGTGACGTATTTTTCCCTGGCGTGTTGTGGCAATATATCTTGTCTTCACTATACTGTAGTACAGTGAGGTCAATCTTGAACAGTGTTTTTTTAGAAAATGTATTGATTGGCTGAACCATTCAGAAATCTTGTAAATGGGTTTTTAGAATGGATTTTGATTGGCTAGTTCATTCATAAATTGATTTGCCAAGTCTATTTATTCGATTCTACTGGCGACTACTCCAATTACGAACCGACTTACAGTAGACATCTAAACAACACGCGGCCCTTACTGTATCACGTGGACGTGCCTGTGTGGATGAGTATACCATCGCTAGAAATACACTTGCGAATGATGCATTACATCCTGACATACTATACCGTATACCCCCCGCTGGTACAGCACCTTGAAAACTACTGTATTCAGGCATGCGCATTGGTCTAAATCCATCACAGGACTTATATTGCATTGGATGAAAATAATTAACGCATGGTGATTGGATATTTCTGTCCAATTAGAGACATGCCCAACCTGAACTATGAAAATGTTCCAAACCAGTACTGAAGCGGGGGGTATACGGTAGTCAGTGATGTCATGTCGATTCGATTCTTCATTGGTAACTACGATCTTGGAGTCAACGTCTTTGGTGTGCTTCTACGAGATATAATAACATTGAATAACTCCTTGCCAGATCAAGTGTACCTTACCAGCCATAAGGACAGGCCGACGAAAATGTAACACCGCCGCAGTGCCAAAACCTCCACACAATACTGACACTAGTTGGTCTTCCATTTATGATCCTATCAAAGTACTACACTCTGAAGTACTACGTGGTAAGTGTTATAATACACATACAGTATCGTAAATACAGTAACTAAGTTAACTTTATTGTCGGGTTCATTTTTACGGCAAATACACATGTGGCCGTCCTAATTGCCGACATTACGGTATTGCACTTGCCACAAACGAAAGGTTAGGCTTACAATCAACGCGTGGTCTTACTATTAGTAGTCAGCAAGTGACCGTGATTAATAATTCAGTTGCTTTGAATACGCCACAATAACGGGAAAACACGGGTTACTAGTTATCGTGTTGTAGTAGGTAGCTACAATGCTTCGACCATCAACGGGGTTCGATTAAGCCGTGCGAAGGATGATGTGGACACCGCTATCCGTGTCCACGACGCCGCTGAGCTCACCCACAGGCAACCCGAATCTATTCAAAGGATTTAATAGGGTTTTATCATTCGGGAATCACGTACGAGGCATCCTCGAATGGCTTTTGCATCATGCCGCGACCGAACGGCCCCAAGTCACCGCCACGAGCACCGCTGCTGCAGTCGCTGTATTGCACCGCCAAATCTTCAAAGCGGGCTTCTCCCGACGCAATCTTGGCGCGGAGTCCTAAAGAAAGCTTGCATCAAGTGGACGTGGCCACACATATGGACGCACCCAGGAGAATTTCAATGGCTTCTTCCTTGGAGCGCGTAATATTGTCGCTCAGGCGCGACGCTAACACAGAGATAATTGTCATCACTCCACATGAGCTAGACGCACGAAGGACATACCAGGGCGGCGGGAACCGCGATGCTTGATCAGCAAGTGTGACGCACGGACTTGAGACATGCTTCTTCGAATGTGGTTGTGGAGGTGTGGCGCATCAGAGTTAAAACACGCACCGAGTTGCTAATTGGGTTAAACACAGAAAAATACAATACATAGTACTATATATGTGGTACCCGCACCTTAGGTTAAAGCACCCGTTTTTGCACGTTAAAGTCATTGGAACTACAATTACCTACGAGTTCTTATGCTCTACTTCTACTTATAACGTTACTATATTATCCGGATCTGGAAGCCAGAATGATGGTCGCGACCTTTTGGACTCCCCACATGATGGCGACGAAACGTCGCGAGAGTTGTTCCATCGAAATTTCACTTTTTCAAGTGCCGATCCCTCTACGCGCACCGCGTGAAGAAGAAGACGTACTCGTCGCTTCTAGTGCGCGATGAGTGCAAGCAGCTTCGACGAGACAGAAGAGCTTGTCAACTGGATACGGGACCGGATACGACTGCCAGGATACACGCAGGCCAAGTGGACGCCGTCCGACTCGGCATGTGTCAAGGACTTCGCCGATTCCTTGAATATACCAGCGCTCTTCATCTCTACAAACACGGCTCACGTCCTTCGCGTGGGCACGACGGCCCCTCGGGACGCCACCACGATCATGTACTTTGTCAAGAACGGCCAGGTCAGTGTCAAACCCACGACGGCGGTCACGGCGCTGCAGTTTGGGACAATCCACGGCGAGGGTATTTCGTCGTTGCTGCAGTTGATGAATACCTTTTACATGCAGCGTCTGCAGCAAGAAACGTCATGGCCGGAGAGCATCCAGAAGGAGTTCACGGCGCAGTTTTATCGCTTCATGAGTAGTCTCACGGAGACGGTGAGTCGTGGGTGTGGAAAGACAGTGTTGTACCTTCCTCCGATCGCACTAGACAAAGCCAATTACAAAGACAAGGACCTGCTGCAGCAGCTCGAGTCCACCGTCATCCATTGGACTCGTCAGATCAAGGAAGTTGTCAACAACCAAGACAACGCCCACGATGCCGAAGGCGCGGGGCCGCTCGAAGAAATCAAGTTTTGGGAGCATCGCACCGAAGATCTGTCGGGGATCACCGATCAGCTCAACCGACCGGGAGTGAAGGACATTGTGGACATTTTGAGTTTGGCCAAGTCGTCGTATTTGCAGCCGTTTGAAACGCTGAGCCAAATCATCAAGCAAGGGTCGTTCGAAGCAAACGACAACCTGCGGTTCCTCAAGAAGCTGTGTCCGATCTGCGAACAGATGGCGACGGCGAGTCCGTATGACATTCCGTCGTTGCTGCCCAAGTTGCTCACGACCATCCGCCTCATTTGGATGTACTCGCGGTTCTACAACACCGAGGACCGGATCACGAGTTTGCTGCGCAAGGTCAGCAACGAGATCATCTCTGTATGCTGCAAGACCATCTCGTTGCAGCACATTTTCAACGGCGACGTCCAAGGCAGCATCCGCAACCTCGAAGAAACCATCGAGTGCGGCGTCGCTTGGAAAACCATCTACTACAGCGTGGCCAAGTCGGTCAACCAAGCTAGTACTAGTACTACTACTAGTAGTAGTACCCCGCCCGTCAAGTGGAAGTTTGACGACACGAGCATCTTTGCCCAAGTCGATGCGTTCGTGCAGCGGTGCCGCGAGTTGCTCGAAGTATGCGAAGGGCAGATCCAATTTGCCCGCAAAGGCCAGGGCAGTTCGAGTTTGCCTTGCTTTGGCGGGAATCGCGGCCAAGAGATCGTCAAGTCTCTCATGGGCATTGAAACCCAGTTCCACCAGCACATTGACCGCCTCCGCAGGCTCGAGTATGACATTCTGGACGTGAAGATCACGTTTTGGCACACGGATTTTAACGTGTTCAAGAACGGCGTCAAGGACCTCGAAGCCATGACGCAAAACGTCATCAACGCCGCGTTCGACTCAGTGTCGACCATCTCGGCCGGATGTGACCTCCTTCAGGCGTTCCAAACCATTGCCAAGCGCGAAGCTATCCGCCGGTGTGTGGAGAAACGAACGGTGGACGTGTACGGGATGTTCAAAGCCGAGGTTGTGACGGTGCGCAACTTGTTTGAAAAGAACAAGGCGGTGCCGCCGCTGTCGATAACCGAGCCCCAGTACGCCGGGGCTGCTCTGTGGGCCCGGGGCCTCCAATTACGGGTCAAAGAAGACTTGGCGCGCTTGGCGCTGCTGACGTCGCTGCCTCCTGGCGCCGTTGAACTAGACGAAGCGCAAACACAATTCGACGGCCTCAAAGCTGTGCTGCACGATTACATTCAGAAAAAGTACAATGACTGGATCGACGAGTTGAATTCGCTGGGGACGACCAACTTGAACTCGCGACTGGAGAACCCCCTCATGACCAAAACCAGTTTGGCGCTCGACGCCGCGGTGCCGACGGCGGCATCGGCATCGACGGCGGGTGGTGTCGCGGGGGGCAACGGCGCGCCAGGCCAAACCAATCCCAATCCCAACCCCCACGCCCTCGACGTGACCAACGCCGACAAGCTGCTCGGGCGGTCGAACAAGGGGTTCTTACACTGCAATTTTGATCGTCCGTTGTTGCAACTGTTTGCAGAAGTGCACTATTGGCAGTACTTTAACGGGGAGATCCAGATTCCGTACATTGCCCACGACATTTGCAATCAAAAGGAGCAGCTGCGCGTGCTACGCGAGCACGTGACGCTGGTGGTCCGAGACTACAACCGGATCCTGCATGAACTCAGCACAACCGAGCGGCGCCTCTTTGACGACATCATTCGCAAACTGGACCGGCGCATTCAACCCGGGCTTGCCAAGCTCACGTGGCTGTCCAAGGGGGTGGTCGAGTGGTACGTGAACGACTGCCGCAAGCACTGCGAAGCCACGTACCGGATCGTGCGCGAGTTCCAAGACAACAAGGACGTGGTCGCGTCCAACTGCAAGATGATCGCCGGACTCATGCACATCTCCATCGAGCGCAACAACGTGTACGACGACGGCGTGTTTGAAGTCAAGCAGGTGAGCCACCGCGCCGCGATGGAAACGAAGCTCAAGGCCGCATACGAAAACATCCGCAGCACCATGAGTGCCATGTACGTGCATTTTGCCGCGGGACCGGGCGACGTCCAGCGAGAGTGGGCGCGGTTCGTAGAACGAGCAGACAAAACCCTCGAAGATTCACTCCGCCAGTCGGTCAAGAAATCGCTGCAGGAGCTCAGCAAGGCCATCAACGGCGACGCCAAGACAGATCCGCACCCGCTCTTCCGTGTGCACGTGATCCTTGAAGACGGTAAAGTCGAGTTCAACCCACTCATGGTCAACTTGACCCAGATGGTCAACACTGCCGCCAAGGAAATCTTCAACGTGATCAGCGTCGTGCCGCGTCTCACGGCTACGGTCAACGGACGAGCCGACGACCACCCGCCCCAACCATCCACCACAATCACAACCGATGCACGTACACAACCCATGGACGGCAGCGAGGGCGCCACGTCACCGACCACTGCAGTAGTAGCTGCTACAGGTACTACTAGTGGTAGTTCTGGGAGCCACACGTTTTACCAGTCGATTTTCAACGACGAAGAGATCCTCAAGGTGTTGGTGCACATCATGAACGGCATGTCGGCGAGCGCGACGGAGCTGCAAAAGTACTTGGGGTACTGGGACAAGTACAAGTTGTTGTGGAACCAAGACAAGCAAGCTTTTATTCGACGCTACGCCAAGGCGAATCGGCCGCTGCAGCAGTTCCGCGTCGACATTGAACGGTACCGCGAGCAGCAAGTGAGCATTCAAAACGAAGACTTGACCAACACGATCAATTTTATTCAAATCGACACGCATTTTCTCAAGGCGAGTTTGGTGGACCATACGGTGCAATGGATTGGCAAGTTGACGGGTTTGCTCAACCAAACAGCGTCGGACGAGCTCAAAGCACTCATGAACATGATGAAGGCAAACACCAAGCGACTCCAAATCAAGCCGAGTAACCTGGACCACCTTGGCGAAAGCATCGGGCTGCTCCAGGAGATCAAAGACTCGGCCCCGACTGTGGAAGCCCAGTTTGATCCGTTGCAGCTCAAGTACGACTTGCTTGCCGAGTTTGACGTTCAAATCACCGACGACGAGATGCGCGACTTGCAGAGCTTACGGCCACACTGGGACGCGTTCGAAGGCATGCTCGTGGACGCCAACACGATGCTGCAAAAGTGTAAAATTAGCATGAAGCAGTCTCTTCAGGACAACGTCGCGGAGCTGAGTAACCACATGGTGGAGCTCCGGAGCGAGGCTATGGCGACGCTGCCGTACTCGGATCAAACCCAAAACTCGGCCGCCGCGCACGCGATATTGCTGGACTTTGAAAAGAAGATGGAGGCGACGCGCGTGCGGCAGGCGGTGCTGAAGAAAGGGCTCGATATCTTTGGCATCGAAGAGACATTGAACGACGGGTTCGTTCAGACAGAGAAGGAGCTCGAGCTTCTGCAGCAGATATGGGCGTTCTTTGACGAGTGGGAGTGTGTGTGGAGTTCGTGGAAAGGCAACGTGTTTGGCGAGTTGCAAGTCGACTCGATGGAGGCGACGGCGGCGCAGTTTTTCAAGCGAATCACCAAGTTGGGCAAAGACATGAAGGAGTGGGCGATCTGGGGCTCCATGAAGGACAAGATTGACCAGTTTCGCGCGACGTTGCCGTTGATCCAAGACCTCAAGAACGACGCGTTGCGGCCCCGGCATTGGGCGCAGCTCAAAGACGAAATGCAAAGTGCGTTCGACGCCGACTCCAAGGGGTTTACATTGGAAAAGGTGTTTTCGCTCGGGTTTCACTTGCACGCCGAGTTCATTTCAACTCTGTCGGGCAACGCGAGCAAAGAATTGTCGATCGAGCAAGCGCTGGACGGGATCGAATCGCGGTGGAATAGCATTAACATTGACATGGTCGAGTACAAATCCGTGTACTTTAAAGTCCGCAGCGCCGACGATCTGTTTACAGCGCTGGAAGACGACCAAGTCCAGCTGTCCACGATGAAAGCGTCGCCGTTCTTCGATTCGTTCGCGACCAAGCTGTTGATGTGGGAAGCCGCCTTGTCCACTGTATCCGAGGTGATTGAAACGTTGCTTGGGGTCCAGCGGTGCTGGATATACCTTGAGAGCATCTTCATGGCGTCGGAGGACATTCGCAAGCAACTGCCGCTGGAAAGCTCCCTTTTTGACCAAGTCAATACCGCCTACTGCAGTGTCACATCTAGCATGGCGCAGGTCCAGAACGCGCTCAAGGCCACGCATTTGCCGCACACGCTCGACACGCTGTTGGACATGCAAGACAAGCTGGACCGTATCCAGAAATGCCTCGATCAGTACCTCGAAACGAAGCGGATGATGTTCCCGCGGTTCTATTTCTTGTCCAACGATGACCTGCTCGAGATCCTTGGCCACCAAAAAGACCCGGATCAGGTGCAAAAACACATTAAAAAGTGCTTTGAAGCGATCAAGTCGCTGTACTTGCTGTACCCGGGCACGCGAAACAACTTGACGTTTGAAGCCGCGGGTATGAACGCCCCCGACGGCGAGCAAGTGCTGTTCAACACGAACGTCGTCATCGCGGGCGCGGTCGAAGGCTGGCTCGTGCGTGTGGAAGCCGCCATGATTGCGTCGCTCGAAAAGCTGTACGCGGGGTGCCTCGTGGCATATCGCGGCAAAAAGGAGAAATGGATCAAGGAGTTTCCGGGGCAGCTGCTCATCACGTGCGGCCAGACGGCGTGGACGAACGAATGTATCAAAGCACTGAACGAAGTCGCAAAGGGCGACAAGAAGGCCATGAAAACGCTCAAGAAGAAGTGGGTGTCGTACCTAAACAAGCTGGCCGACATGGTGCGCGGCCAGCTCACGTCCACAGAGCGCAAGAAGATTGTGGCGCTGATTACGATCGAAATCCACTCGCGGGATGTCGTGGACCGGCTCGTGAAACAAAACTGCAAGTCGACCAACGACTTTGAATGGCTTATGCAGCTGCGGTTCTACTTTAACAAGGACTTGGGCGAGCACGGGATTTGCGAAGTCAAGCAAACTGTCACGTGTTTGAAATACTCGTACGAGTACCAAGGCAACAACGGCCGCCTTGTGATCACACCCCTCACCGATCGCTGCGTGCTCACCATGACCACTGCCCTGCACCTAAACCGGGGGGGCAACCCCCTCGGCCCCGCCGGCACTGGCAAGACCGAAACTGTCAAGGACCTGGGCAAGAACTTGGCGAAATACGTGATCGTGTTCAACTGCAGTGATGGCCTTGACTACAAGTCGGTGGGGCGCATGTTCTCTGGGCTCGTTCAATCGGGGGGATGGGGCTGCTTTGACGAGTTCAATCGGATTGAGATCGAAGTGCTGTCGGTTGTGGCCCAGCAAGTCCTCACCATCATGCAAGCGCTGACGATGAAGCTGCCCGAGTTTATGTTTCTCGGGTCCGTGATCAAGTGTAACCACAACATGGGTATCTTCATCACGATGAACCCGGGGTATGCCGGCCGCACGGAACTGCCCGACAACCTCAAGGCACTCATGCGGCCGTGTGCGATGATGGTACCCGACTTGGCGCTCATTGCGGAAGTGATGCTCCAAGCCGAAGGGTTCCGCGATGCCAAAGTGTTGGCGAAGAAGACCACGACCTTGTACGGGCTCATGATCCAGCAACTGAGCAAGCAAGACCACTACGATTTCGGCCTCCGGTCGCTCAAAGCTGTGCTCAATATGGCGGGCGCGTTGAAGCGCGAAGACCCCAACATGCAAGAAGAACACATCCTCCTCCGAGCCCTTCGAGACATGAACGCCCCCAAGTTTATCAAGGAAGACGCGGCGCTCTTCAAGCTACTGCTGGGGGATTTGTTTCCGTCGATTGAGCTGGCCATTCCCGAGTACGGGTCGCTGCAATCGGCGATTCAAAGTGAACTGACTCACCAGGGACTGCAGCTGCACCCGACCATCTTGTTCAAAACGATCCAACTGTTCGAGTCCCAGGCCACGCGGCACTGCAATATGATCGTGGGGCAAACCATGGCGGGCAAATCCACTGTGTGGAAAACCCTCCAGGCCGCCAAATCACAGCTGGCCAAGGACGGTGCCCCGGGGTACACCCCCGTCCGCGTCCAAGTGCTCAACCCAAAGTCCATTTCCCTCAACGAAATCTATGGCGTATATGATTTGTCGACGTTTGAATGGATCGACGGCATCCTCAGCGCCATTTTTCGCACGTTAGCCAGCGACGACAAGCCAGACGAGAAATGGATCATGCTTGATGGACCCGTCGACACTTTGTGGATTGAAAGCATGAACAGCGTCATGGACGACAACAAGGTGCTCACCCTCATCAACGGCGACCGTATTGGTACGTGAATATATAATATAAATTTACTTCTCTTTTCGCCATATATATATATATTATACATAACTATATATATATATATATGTTGAAGACTCGCAGTACTCACTCGTGTCATGTATATATTATATACATAACGAGATATGTTGAAGACTCGCATGTATGGGATATTTCTTTATATATATTTACAGTTATATATTTACTGTTCAGACTCGCCGCACTTACTCATTTTGTCATCAACAGATTCGAACTTCTATATGTATAGTATGTGTAAAAGTCTCGCAGTACTCACTTATTTTGTCATGTACAGACTTGAATTTATATTCTATATAATTATACTATATATACACATATAAAAGACTATCGAAGCACTCTCTTATTTTGTCATGTACTACGTAGTACTGGTATACAGTACGTATGTGGTATATGCATATATTTTTATATATTGATGTCTCGCAGCACTCATGTATTTGTTTCTGATATATATATACTTAGATTTAAGAAGTCTCGTATATATAAATATATATATTGCACAGGTCACTCATTTTTTCGTCATGTGATATATAGGCATGAGTCCATCGATGGCGCTGTTATTTGAAGTGCAGGACTTGTCAGTAGCATCTCCTGCGACCGTGAGTCGAGCGGGGATGGTATACATGGATGTGGAGGATCTGGGATGGCGGCCCTTCGTTAAGACGTGGCTGGTTCAAGCGATCACAGACCCAGACGAGCGAGACATCCTCACCAGTCTCTTGGACAAGTACATGACCAAGGTGCTCGCGTTTCGATCGGCCGAAGTGACCGAGTTGATTCCCGTGACCGAGTTCAACTGCGTCAAGTCGTTTTGCAACCTCTACAGCGTCCTAGCAACCAAGGACAATGGCGTGGACAAATCTGTGGGCGGTGCTGATCAGTTTGCGCCGATGGTGGAGAAATGGTTTCTGTTTTGTCTCACGTGGAGTGTCATGGGCGCGGCCAGCGAGGACGGACGCGTCCGGTTCGACGCGTGTATTCGCGAAATCGAGACCATTTACCCGCCCGTGAAGACCATCTATGAGTTCTTTGTCGACCCCAAGGGCCGAGAGCTCAAGCTCTGGGACGAGCGCCTTCCCCCAGCGTATCGGATATTGCCTGGCACGCCATTTTACAAGATTCTAGTGCCGACTGTCGACACGCTTCGGTACGGGTACCTGCTGCAGACGCTGGTGAATGGGGGATTGCACGCGCTGATTGTGGGGGATACGGGGGTTGGGAAGACGTCGATGATTCAAAAGGAGTTGGATGGCCTCAATGATACGTACCAGCGCCTTGTGATGAACTTTTCGAGCGCCACGTCTAGCAGCACGACGCAAGACGTGATTGAAAACGTCATGGAGAAGCGATCGATGAACCGATTTGGTCCGATGGGCGGCAAGAAGCTCGTGACGTTTGTCGATGACATGAACATGCCTGCCAAAGACGAGTTTGGCTCGCAGCCGCCGCTAGAGTTGCTGCGCCAGTGGGTCGATTATGGCTGCTGGTACGACCGCAAGAAGCAGTCGCTCAAGTACTTTGTGGACATGCAACTCGTGGGGTCGATGGGTCCGCCGGGGGGCGGCCGGTCGGTGATTTCGTCGCGATTTCAAAGCCGATTCAACCTCATCAACTTGACGTTCCCTGAAGCCACGCAACTTCGCCGAATCTTTGAGACGATGCTCGTGCCAAAGCTGAGCGAATTCGACGATGAAATCAAACCCCTGGGGGTCCCCCTCGTGTCGGCCACGATCCAAATCTACCAAGCGGTCGAAGCAACGTTTTTGCCCACGCCCCAGAATTGCCACTATTTGTTCAACTTGCGCGACATGGCCAAAGTCGTGGCGGGGCTTCTCGTCGCGGATAAGCACATTATCAGCAGCCGCGACGGCATGTTGCGGTTGTGGCTGCACGAGTGTTTGCGGACGTTTTCCGATCGGTTGACGGGGTCGTCGGATCGAGCGACGTTCAAGGTACGGTAGCGTACGTTGTCGCAGGGTTGTTTCCCCCCAAAAAATTGGAGACTTTTGTGCGGAATCGGCAAATCTACAGTGTATCGATCGATCGATTCGAAGTTTCGACATGTAAAACACGTGACCTGTGGTATCATCACACTAATTGAATTCACACACTAATTTGACGTTGCTCGTGGTTTCCTGCAGAGTGTCGAATTGGCTCACTCCTTGTGTACGTTTATTTGGTTGTGTGTTTGATTCATTCTCCATGACGGTCGAGTTTAGAATACACAAATATATCAATAACTCTGTCGCAGGTTATGGTGGTAGCTGTTGTTGCTATTGTTGTTGTGATCTGTGACATGTGAATCTGTATATTGTAGACGAAAATCGACGAGATCTTGTCGACGTCATTTCAAACGGAATGGTCCCGTCTATTGGGATCGCTCCCGGAATCGCTAAAGGAGAACGGTCCGTTGTTTAGCGGGATCATGACGCCGATCGAGGACGAGAGTGCTTCGGGTGTCAAGTACGACGAGATTGACGACATTCGAGCGCTAAAACGACTGGTGGAGGATCACTTGGACAACTACAACGTCGAACCGGGGTTGGTGCCCATGAATCTGGTGCTATTTGGGGACGCGTTGATGCATTTGCTGCGCATTTTCCGGCAGCTGACGACCCCCCGGGGGAATTTGCTCTTGGTGGGCGTGGGCGGCAGCGGGCGGCAGTCGCTGACGCGGCTGGCGTCGTTTGCCGCCGGCTGCGACTTGTTTCAGATCGAAGTGACCAAGAACTACCGCCCCATGGACTTTCACGAAGACATGAAAAAGCTGTACCACAGCGCCGGCGTTGTGGGCAAGAAGACGACGTTTTTGTTTAGCGATACGCAAATCAAGAGCGAAAGCTTTGTGGAAGACATCAACAACGTGCTGAGCAGCGGGGAAATCCCCGGGTTATATGAAAAGGATGAGATCAACACCATCTTGGAAGCCATTCGAGCCAAAGCCCGAGCCCACGGTGTGAAAGAATCCAAAGACAACATGTGGGCATTCTTCATCAACGAAGTACGCCCCCCCTATACACACATATCTCTTCCCCCCTGACCCCCCCCTTCCCCCATATAAAAGAGATTTAAGGATCGAGTGTACCGTAGGTTCGACGCAACTTGCATATTGTATTGGCCCTCAGCCCCATCGGAAAAGGGTTTCGCAATCGCGTGAGACAGTACCCGTCACTTGTGAACAACATGACCATCGACTGGTTTGACGAGTGGCCACTCGACGCTTTGCAAGAGGTGGGCATGAAGTTCCTCGACGAAAAACGAGTGGCCACGGAGCCCCAGCGACCCAAGATTTCCGCCGTGTTTGCCGTCATTCATAGCAGCGTCGTGTTGGCGTCGGCGCAGATGCTAGCGTCGATGAAACGACACAATTATGTGACACCGACGAATTACCTGGCCTTGGTCAAGGGTTACGTGGTACACACATATATGTGTCCGACTCGACAACAACAATAATATGGGAATAGGAATTGCTGCTGGAAAAGAGCAGCACGATTGCCGATTCGCGGGATAAACTCAAGAACGGGCTGGCGAAATTGGAAGAGTCCCGGGCCCAAGTCGAGCAAATGTCGATTCAACTGGAGCAGCGCAAGATCATCGTGGCCCAGAAGAACAAGGATTGCAGCGACTTGCTTGTGATTATCGTGAGCGAGCGCCGCGTGGCCGACGAGCAGCGGAAGCAGGTGGAAGCCGAGAGCGAGCGCATCTTGAAGGAAGAGATCGAGACGAAAAAAATCGCCGACGACGCGCAAACCGACTTGGACGAAGCGCTGCCAGCGTTGGCCAAGGCCATGGCCGAGGTGGAATTACTCGACAAGAAAGCCATAGCTGAAGTCAAAGTGTACTCGCAGCCTCCCGAAGCGGTAACCACCATCCATCCATCCATCCATCCTCTAGATCGATAATAGCCCTAAACACTGCTATCGGATCCATGTATTACTCGTCTACTTCTTCTTCTTACACACAATATTGATTGAATTGAATTTGATCAAAGATGGATGATACTCTAGGTGAGTTTGGTCATGTGCGGGGTCATGGTATTGTTTGGGCTTCCCCCAACGTGGGCCCAAGCCAAGATCAAAATGAACGACGTCAACTTTTTACAGCAAATCAAAACGTTTGACAAAGACACGATCCGGGACAAAACGTTGTCAGCACTCAAAAAGTTCACGTCCAAAGAAATGTTCAAGTCGGAAACTGTGAAGAAAGTGTCGAGCGCGGCGGGGGCGCTGTGCTCGTGGGTGCTCGCCATGGAGGTGTACTCGTCCGTGTTTCGGCTCGTCGCCCCCAAGCGCGACGTGCTCAAGAAATCGCAGCAAGCACTCGCGATCAAGCAGCGCGACTTGCAAACGGCCAAGAACAAGCTCCAAGACGTGATTGAAAAGGTCGAAGCGCTCAAGAAACAGTACGACGACAGCGTCAGCGAGAAGAACGCTTTGCGGGAAGAAGCCGAAGTGCTAGAGCTCAAGCTGAGCCGCGCCACGCAGCTCGTGTCTGGCCTGTCGGGGGAGCGGGAGCGGTGGCAGGTGTCCATTGCAACCAAAGACGCGGCGCTGGTCAATGTTGTCGGGGATGCGCTGGTAGCGGCTGCGTTCTTGTCGTACGCGGGCCCGTTCGACTCGCTCTTTCGGTCGTCGCTGTTGGACACGTGGAGCAACCGCGTGCAACAGCAGGCGCTCCCCATGTCGCAGACGTTTCAGTTCACCGACTTTCTCGCAGATCCGACGGATGTTCGGCACTGGAACGCGCACGGCCTGCCACGAGACAACCTATCGACTGAAAATGGCGTCGTGACGCTCCGAGGCACGCGGTGGCCGCTGATGATTGACCCCCAAGGCCAAGCAAACAAGTGGATCAAGTCGCTCGAAGGCGCCAAGTTGGACGTGGTGGACCCGATGATGAAAGACTTTTTGCGCAAACTCGAAAACGCGATTCGATTTGGCACGGCTGTGCTCATGCAAGACATCCAGGAAGAACTCGACCCATCGTTGGAACCAATCTTGAACAAGAGCATCGTCAAGGTGGGCAACCGCGAAGTGCTTCGCATTGGCGACAAAGAGCTCGACTACAACCGCGACTTTCGATTTTACCTGACCACGAAGCTCCACAATCCACATTATACCCCCGAAGTGTCGACGAAGACCACGATTGTGAACTTTGTCGTGAAAGAACAAGGCCTTGAAGCGCAGCTGCTGGGGACCGTCGTGCAGATGGAAGAGCCGGCGCTCGAAGAGCAAAAGTCCGAGCTCGTGGTCAAAGTTGCCGCCGCCAAGCACAAGCTGGTGGACTTGGAGAACGAAATCCTCCGGCTCTTATCCAATGCCAAGGGCAGTTTGCTTGATGATGAGTCCCTTGTGAACACACTCAATGCGTCCAAGGTCACGTCGGAGGAAGTGACCTCGCAGCTTGTCGTGTCGGAGGAAACGGAGAAGAAAATCGACGCGGCGCGCATGGGGTATGTGGCCGTGGCCGTGCGGTCGTCCACGCTGTACTTTGTGCTGAATGACATGACCAAGGTCGACCCGATGTACCAGTTCTCGCTCGACTCGTACGTAGACTTGTTCAAGGAATCGATTGCCAAGAGCCGATCGTCCCGCCAGACGATGACGCTTACAGACGACCTGAGCGAGCGCATCGCGGCCATCAACGACTTTCACACGTTCGCCGTGTATGCGTACGCGTGCCGGGGACTGTTTGAGCGCCACAAGCTGCTCTTTTCCTTCCAAATGTGCATCCGCGTCATGCAAAGTGTCCATAAAGTGCCCCTGGACGAGTACGAGTTTCTCCTCAAGGGCGGCAACTTGCTCGGCAACGACGAACGTGTGACCAACCCCGTGACCGACTTTTGCACCGAGCCAGTCTGGCTCGCTGTGGTCGACTTGAACCGCATGCCGCGGTTCCAGGGGTTGGTGTCGTCGTTCGAACAAGCGGGAAAAGCGTGGAAATCCTGGTTTCAATCGAGTTCGCCAGAGATTGAAGCCCTACCCGGGGACTGGGAAGGTACACACACGCCCCCTTGTGGATTTGGGGGTTGGCGATATTATTTCAGTGTTGGCATTGATATACTTTGAAGTATATATATATATGACATGTGTTTATATATTCATGCCCCCACTTTGACATGCATTCAATATATATAAATATACAAATGTACTCCCAAATAAATATATGTATATATTCCCAAATAATTTACATATATATATGTATTCCCAAATATATACATGTATATGTATTTCCAAATATATACATGTATATGTATTCCTAATTAATATATATTTGGGAGTTCATTGAATAACTCATTGGATATTCCTAGTATTGTTTTCATGGGCGTCGCTCGTATCATCGTGTATTATTATTATGTAGTTATTAATAACGGGGTGGTTTTTTGGGGTTGTTCTTTTCTAGGCAAATGCAACGAACTCCAGCGCATGATCTTGTTGCGCGTGCTCCGTCCAGACCGCGTGACCATCCAAGCCGCAAAGTTCGTGTCGACCAACCTCGGGCCGCAGTTCGTGGACCCGCCTCCGTTCGACCTGCGCGCGATTTACGACAACTCGTCGTACAAGACGCCGTTGATCTTTGTGCTGTCGCCGGGGGTGGACCCTACGAATAACTTGATGGCGCTAGCCGAAGTGCTTGGGAAGAAGGTCGAAAACTGTGCATTGGGGCAGGGGCAGAGTCAATTTGCCGAAGCTATGCTCGCCCGGGGGCTAGAGGGGGGCAACTGGGTCTTCCTAGCCAACTGCCATCTCATGCTCAGCTGGGCGCCGACGCTGGAAAAGCTCATCGACAACTTTTGTGCGTCACCAACTGTGAACCCAACCTTTCGGCTGTGGCTCACATCCGACCCCAACCCCAAATTCCCCATTGCGATCCTCCAACGCGGGATCAAGATGACCACGGAACCCCCGCGCGGCCTGCGCGCCAACTTATTGCGGCTGTACAACACCGTGACCAGCGATCGCTTCCAGCGCTGCAAACAAGCTAAAAAGTACAAGCGACTGCTGTTTTGCCTCTGTTGGTTCCACGCATTGTTATTGGAGCGCCGCAAGTTCAACAACTTGGGGTGGAATATCCCATATGACTTTAACGAGTCGGACTTTGCCATCTCGGAAGACGTGCTGGCAATCTACTTGGACGAGTACGAAGACACGCCGTGGGAAGCCCTCAAGTACCTGATCGCGCAGGCCAATTACGGCGGCCGCGTCACCGACGACTGGGACCGCCGTCTCATGCTTGTGTATGTGGGGCAGTTTTTCTGCGAAGACATTCTCGAGCTTGATCAAGCCCCGTTGGCGGATTCGCCAGAGTATTTCGTGCCCGAGGACGGCGATTTGCAAACGTATGGCGACTTTATTCGCAACTTGCCGCTCGAAGACCCCCCCGCAGCGTTTGGCCAGCACTCGAACGCCCAGATCGCGTCTCAGATTGACAATGGCCGAGAACTGCTAAGTACAATTCTCGGGCTGCAGGCGATGGGGGCAGCCGAGGGCGGCAAAGGCAACGACGAAAAGATCATGGGCGTGCTCTCCAATTTAAAAGACAAAGTTCCTGACGTGTTTGACTTGGCCAACGTCAAACTGAACCTTTCAACACGAAGCGACCCCGACGCGCTCAAGACGGTGCTCCTGCAAGAGCTTGAGCGGTACAATAAACTGCTAGGGGCGATCAAGAGCCAGCTCGTCGCGCTGGAGAAGGGCATGCAGGGGATGGTGGTCATCACACCCGAACTCGAAGCCGTGTACAACGCCATGCTTATTGGCGCCGTGCCAAAAGCGTGGGGGTTCTGCTACCCGTCGCTGAAACCACTGGGTAGTTGGACCCAAGAGCTGGAGCTGCGCATATATCAGATGCGCCACTGGGCCAACACGGCCCAGCCTGTAGTGTTTTGGCTGTCGGGGTTCACGTACCCCACGGGGTTTCTCACGGCGTTGCTGCAAACCGCGGCTCGGAAGAATGGCGTGTCGATAGATTCCCTCAACTGGGAGTTTTTGATCATCAACCAGCACGAAGACTCGATCGTGGTCGGGCCCAAGGACGGCGCGTACGTCAAGGGTTTGTTCCTCGAAGGCGCGAGGTGGGACTTCGAGCACGACTGCTTGGCAGAACCCAACCCGATGGACCTGTACTGCAACATGCCCATGATTCACTTCAAGCCCGTGGAAACCAAGAAGAAAGCGTCCAAGGGGACGTACAGTTGTCCGCTGTACATGTACCCAATCCGCACGGGTACCCGCGAGCGGCCGTCGTTTATGATCGCTGTGGACCTGAGATGCGGGGCTGGCAAGTCCCCCGATCTCTGGACCAAGCGCGGCACGGCCATGCTGTTGTCCTTGAGCACGTAAACAATGTCTCATCGTAATGTAAAAGACATGGTTGCGTTCGAACGACAGGGGGGGCGGGAATCTTGTGTGTGACGTGGAGACAGCACAAGACGTCCCCTTGGCTCTTGTGTTGCATGCTACTATACGTACTATACGCATAGTATTCAGCTCTACTGGCGACGAAACAGCAATCGACTTACTACCGGTTGTATATGTCTTTACTTCATGAAGGATGACAAGTTAGTGTCATCCACGTTATAGTGACATTACACGATGTGTACTATAGTGTAGTTATGGCAATTCCTCGGAGATGCCTTTTGGAGCCAATTTCCTCACCTTTCGTCGATGTGGTGTGATATTGCGTGGAAACAGATGGAGACAAGTACTCAATCTCGTCTTCATTGTAGCCCCACAGTAGTCGATCATCTTGCCACGTTCAGTACCTCCCTCCACATCCTTGGTCAGAGCAAGTTCTAGGCGGAACTTAGGGGCATGTGGGGGGTGGGGGCACGTTCCAAGCAAGTGCTCGACCTTCGAATAAACTGGTTGAAGCGCGTGGTGGATTTGGTTCGGCGTCCGTCCTCGCGACGGCCAGGATATCCTGCTTCACGACCGTGCAATAATATAATCAAGATATGTACATTAAGTATGAATGATTAACTATTTACAATTTTATTTCATTCAGTATAGCCGTCGTGGGTGGAAAGTTGTTGTAAAACTGCCCTCGAATATTTATCTTGATTACACTATACTCGACTAGCCATCCCAGTGACTACCGTAGTAATTATCATTGGAGTCGTGGAGTTTGCACTTTTTTAGCTCCGGCATGGGACTGGTGTGCTCGTGCTTGTCTGGTGGTGGTGGCGGCGGCGGCGGCGGCGGCAAGCGGTTCCGCGACCAATACCAGCTGGGCGACAAGATCGGAGAAGGCGCGTTCTCGGTCGTACGAAGAGCTACCCACCGGCAGACGAATGTTGTGTACGCGGTCAAGTGCTTTAAGAAAGTTCGGCTCACGGAGCAGGACGTCAAGGATATTCACGGCGAAGTGGGGCTGCTCAAGCAAATGAAGCACCCGAATGTACTCAACCTCCACGGGTTCTTTGACGAGCCAGAGTACTATTACACGGTCATGGACTTGGTCGAAGGCGGCGAGCTATTTGACCGGATTGTGGACAAGGTACGAAGCCTTACAAGATGACAATCTTGGCGATCCACGGCCAAGCGTGTATTGCTAATTTGAACGGGTAGGAGTTTTACACGGAAAAGGAATGCCGTGACTTGATCAAGATCTTGCTGGACACCATCACGTATTGCCATGGCCTTGGCATTGTCCATCGCGACCTCAAGGTACGTACATCCACGTCTTGGCTCGAATCAACGGTTGATCCTACTACTAACCATACACACCACTAGCCCGACAACATTTTGATGACGAGCCGCGACGACGACGCGTCGATCAAGATTGCCGACTTTGGTTTGGCCAAGCAAGACAGCCAGGACGACAACTTGGTGTCGTCGTGTGGCACCCCCGAGTACATTGCTCCAGAAGTGGTTCGCAACGTGTTTTCCAAGGACAAGCAACTGTACGGCAAGGCCGTGGACATTTGGTCCATCGGCGTCATCACATATGTGATGCTGTGCGGGTACACGCCATTCCACGCTAATAGCCAAGTGCAGCTGTTCCGAAAGATCATCAAAGGCCAGTACCAATTCCATTCGCCATACTGGGACGATGTGTCACCGGAAGCCCAGACCTTTGTGTCGCGAATGCTCGTTGTGGACCCCAAGCAACGGTATCTACAGCACATTTCTCGCTCTCTCTCTCGCCCTCACTACCTTCTCCCCAAGAGTTGTTCCATGTCGTCACGAACTCCATTCGTTATGGGTAGCGCCACGGCTGAAGAATTGCTCGCGGATCCATGGATGACCCTGGGCGACGAGGACGTCAACTTTGCAGAACTCAACGGCGTGTCCAAGCGCATGACGTCGCGGCAACGGCTCAAGGCGGCCATGGCGACGGTAACGCTGCTACGAATAATCATGTTAGTTGTGACGATGGAAGGGTAGGTTCAAACGACGATGGCTCTGACCAAAGCCATGGCGAACAACAAGGCCGTCGTGCCAGCCACGTTGCTGCCTGCCATCGAAGGGGCTAACAAGCTCAAAGCTGCGTAGGGCGTCAGCACCTTCCTTGCAAAACCAGCATACCAGTCTACTAGTGTAGTACTAGTACTGTAAATGTGGTGTACGTGTAGATCGCACGACGATAAGGTCAACCATGTCATGCACATTTATTTTACGAAATGGTCCGTAATATATTGCAAATACCGTGAATTCATACGAGGACATTATGTACCTTATATTATAACAAAATTTTGTTTTTATTATTAATTGAATCAACTGCGATACTATCACGACGACGAAAGTGTTGCCTATCCTGACAACAATATTAGACTAGCTATTTGTATGAAATACATCCGATCCGGTGATTAGAATGAATGTCATATGCGAGTGACAATTACAGTACTAGTATTGCATTCCACTTCAAGTCCTAAGATGGGCTGCTGTCTGACGTCATGGTGTGACTTCCGGCCTCGATCTGAACGCTTTCGGGAGCACTATGAGCTTGGTAAGAAGCTCGGGGAAGGCGCGTTCTCGGTGGTCCGTCGTGCGATACACAAGGAGACCAAAAAGGTGTACGCCGTCAAGTGCTACCGCAAGACAAGGTTGACGTCGCGGGATGCCGAGGACATCCACTACGAAGTGTCGATTCTGCAGCAGATGCACCACCCCAACATCATCAACTTGTATGGGTTCTATGACGAGCCAGAGTACTTCTACATGGTCATGGACTTGGTCGAAGGCGGCGAGCTGTTTGACGAGCTCTTGGAAAAGGTCGTTTGCAGAATCGAATGCCATTTTTGACCTCGTTCTGTAGTTGCATTACTCGGAGAAGGAAGCGCGGGACGTCATCAAGGTCGTGTTGCAAGCCATAGAGTACTGCCATCGCTTGGGCATCGTCCATCGCGACCTCAAGGTTGCGCTCGTTTCACTCCATTATTTCACTCGTTCATTCTCACGACGACATACACATAGCCAGACAACATTCTCCTCACAAGCCGTCATCACGGCGATGGCGCGTCCATCAAGATCGCCGACTTTGGCTTTGCCAAACAGGTCGAGAACGACCACGACACGCTGCTGTCGTCGTGCGGCACGCCCGAGTACATCGCGCCCGAGATCGTGCACAACGTCCTCCACCGGGAGCACAAGACGCCGTACGGCAAGGCCGTGGACATTTGGGCTATCGGCGTCATGACATTCTTCCTCCTCTCGGGGGTCACGCCCTTCCACTCGTCCAACCAATCGGTCATGCTGCGGAAAATTGGCCAAGCAGACTTCCGCTTCCTGCCGCCGTACTGGGACAACGTTTCCGACGAGGCCAAGGCCTTTGTGGCCCGCATGTTGACCGTCAACCCCAAGGATCGGTACGAACTACACATCTAACTCTGTCACATATTCCCGTCCAACGAGAAACGGGGATATGTTTGGCTGTGTGTTGACGCTGATTGCATTTTCGAATTTGGCAGCGCCACAGCCAGCGAATTGCTACACGATCCTTGGATTGTCGAGCATGACGTACGTTACTCCAAAAGGCATAAAAGTGGATCATGGCCTACTACTAGTACTACTACTACTACTAGTAGTCCTACACCCCCACCCTCGCCCCAATACTCATGTTGGGGTTATGTTTAGATTCCGGCGGAGCCATTGCCTCAAGTCCTGCGGCGAATCCAAGCGCGACATCGGCTCAAAATGGCCATATCGACTGTAAACCTACTTACTACTTACCTTAACTGTCATGTTCCCTCACGTTAGTTTGTGCCAGCCTGTTGTATATGTTATTGTGCTTTTCACTGAAGTTGGACTGTTCAGAATCGATTTGAGTCTGATTTTAAGCTTATTCAAGGTAACGTTATGGTAACGTTATCTTACGGATGATATACATTTGAAGACCAACAGTTGTCAAACACTACTAGTCCATGATTGGTTGAAATGTCTCGATCCGTTTACTTTGATTGGCCAAGACATGCTCAAATCCATTTGTGTCCTACTTGGAATGAATGATTTGACACACTCTTTGCGTAGGTGCACACGACCGTCCTCATCGACAGCAGCAGCCGGCGGCGTCGGCGCAGTTTCGTGGCCAACACCCCCTCTTCCCCCTCTTCCCCCCTCCCCCCTCACTCTTAAAGCACAAACACCGTCGCATATATCATATACACACTCGGTCGTGTATATATATTATCCCATGCACTCTTCATCTTCGCCTCGTGTTGTTGTTGGTCCTACAAAGGCGTGGGCTCAAACTCAAATGGCTCGGGGGCGTCGGCCTCTTCTTCCGCGCCAGCTTGGGACGGCGCCTGCACCGCCACGACCGATTCCTTTTCGTGGGGGTGTCTGTCTTTGAGGAGCACGATGCCCGCGGGGCGGCGCGTGGGTACCACCGGCACGTATCGCTGGCTCAAGTCAAACGACAGGTGGGGAAGCTGGGCCAACGTCACACGCGACGGGTTCTGGACGTTGAACGAGGTCGGTTCCTTGGCCTTTTCCTCCGCAACAATGGCAGCCACAGGCGCCGCATCCACCTCTGCGTCCACCGCGGCAGGGGGCGGCGCCTTGTGGTCGGCTTCCTGCTTGGCCAGCCGCGCCTTGGCCTTGGCAGTCGTCGACAGCACCGCCGTGGCCACCAGCTCCTTCTTCTCCTCTTTCTTCTCCTCCAAACGCTTGGGGTACGCAAACACGGACGGCTTGGTCGAGCACACGACGGAAAATGCCGTCGGAAGCTTCAAGTCGTGGTTGAGTCCAATCAGCACGGTCGGCTGCAGCGCCAGCTCCATAAAATGGCTCATGGGGTACCAGAACCAATGCTGCGACCACAACGCAAGCCCCACCACGGCAGACATCTTGGTGAACCTACCCATATATATATATTATATATTATATATATATTATAATGGTACCCCGTGTGCGATTGCATGGAAATAACCACGTTGCGCCCGCCCGCATCGAGAATCCCTTGCGCAAAGATAGCTCCCATCTTGGTCATAGTCGTCACGTGCTTGTCGGCAGTCAATTTGCGGATCTTTTCCGTAATCTCCTTCACCTACACTCACACAAATATAAATATAAATATATATATATATATATACCAAATAACACCTCGAGTAAGTACTGTGAATTAAACCGGTATAAACTTCCAACATTCGCATGGTTTGTATACTCAATATTGAATCATGCTAGAGCTCGGATTGGTTGAATATATTTGTCCTTTCTGTAAGAGCCAATCAAATAATCCACTCAAAATTGGATTAGCCAATAGCGTCGTCGATTCGTGATGAATCGATATCGGCGGCAAGACATTCGACGAGGTCTGGGAATCTGTACGGAATCCACATTAAACCAAGTCAAAACAATCAATCACCAGTCCAACCTCATATAAAAATCATCATCCAACAATCAATCAACAGCCAATCAATCCTTATTCGACAATAACAACATATATTGTCGATTAAAAGAATTGGAGAGTTTGGGTTCTCAATCGAATGAGCACAAGAATCAAATCGGCAGACAATCGATATATCGACCAATCAAAACTCACAACACAAATCAAGTGGCCAATCAAATCCACCCATTCCACATCGAATTAGTGTGACATTCGTACGATCTTTACAAAAGTCAAAGAATTGATCGATAGATTTGGCGTTGAATTAGCACAAAAGTCAACCACGTTTTGGGAAGTCAATACCTTGGGGTGGCGGCCTTCGCTCTCTTGCATGATCACCATGGCCAACGCACACAGCGCGCCTTGGCGGACATAATCCACGGCGTCGTCCAGCATCGGTTCCAGCAGCTGAATCGCTTCGTTTTTGAAGGTGCCGGCGCACGCAATGCCCACGGCAACACAAGCGCCATATCGAACATGTGGGTTGAAGCTCTCGGCAAGGAGCGACACGAGCTTGGGCACTTGGGCCGGCGTCCGGAACAGCACAAACCCGAGGCACGAGACGGCGGCGCGGCGCACGTCGTCCGACACGTCCGACACGGCCACATGCAGCAGCCGCTTGACGGCGCCGTTGTTGGCCGTGCCCACGTACGCCATCGCGATCGCATATACGCCGCCATACCGGATGATCGGGTCCTTGTCGCGAATCAGCTGCTCGATGACGCCATCCGCGAGCTCTTCGCGGCCATATGCCATGAGCGCGAGCCCCATCACGGCGCCGCGAATGATCTTTTCATGCTTGGTATCATGGGCATACGACAGTAGCTCCTTGACCGCGTCTGAGTCGGTAAACCCGGCGCCCAAATGAACCAGTCCGATCGCGTACCCCGCGCCTTCGCCCGCCACGGCGTTGTCGGTGAACATGATGTTCTTGAGTTCTTCGTACAGGGCGGCGTCGTGAGTGGCCATGCCGCTAAGCCCGATGCCCAGGCACGCGCCATGCTGGACAACCTCGTCTGTGCCCGAGTTGCGCAGCGCGGTGCGGAGAAACTCGAGCGTTTTCGTGCTGCTCGGCGATGTGCTGCCTTGGTTGGCATGGATCAACCCGAGGGCGTACAACGCGCCGCCTTCGGAATATGGACTCGTGGGCGCGCCACCAGCCGCTTGCGGAAGGTATGGCGCGAGGAGGTTCATGCTTTCGCGTACGTGGCCCTTGTGAATGACGCCGATGCTGGCGGTGGCCGAGAACTTGGCCCAGTTGGAGGCCTTTCCAAGCCAATCCAAGTTGTCTCGAAGGAATGCGTCCACAGTCGTCCCGCAGTTCATGAGCGCGTGCGCGCATACGGCCGAGTTGTGCAGGACCGAGTTGCGGTTCTCCACGGCGGTCTTGATGTTCTTCATGACAAGGGGATCGGACTGGGTTTGGCGAAAGAGAAAGTCGAGTAGCAGGTCCACGCTAAACTCGCCCTGGAGGATCTGCTGCAGCTTGTCGAGGCGGGATGTCGGCGCGGCGGCAGTCGCGGTTAACGCCGAGCTCACGGCATGCAGAAACTTTTGGTTTTCGTTCTCGACCAAGTCAAACGCGACTTGGTACGCGATCAACGTGTCGTCGTCGTCCGAGGACGCAAGCAGCGTTTGCAGAATCGTGGCCACTTCGGCATGCTGGTCCAACAGCTGCAGGATTTGACAAATGTGCGTGTACTCTTGGACGGGAAGACCGCGGTACAGCTGGACGAGGACCTGCAGCACCTGCAGGCGAAAGTCGCGGTTCGTTACGGTCGTTCGAGACACTTCAAAGCAGTACGCTAGCGACGCCGACACGTCGGGCGACTTGCGGATGCTTTCTTCGACCTAGGTATGATGAGAGGAGACATCAATGGCAATGATGATCGACGGGACGATGTACCTTGTCCAATCGACGAGATTCCAACGCCACGCCCAACGCTTGCTTGAACGTGCCCGACGCGTAGCATCGATCAAACATTTGCTCGACAATCGCTTGCATGCGAGGGTCTACGGCCTTGCCTTCACCGTTCGTTCGAATCGCAATGTACTCGTCAATGCACGTCGCTACGACATGTCATGAGCAACATGCGATGGAGAAAGAGTGCGCACGGCTTCTTACCAATGATGGTTTCCGTGTACTGGGAATGGACATTCACGTCAAAGTACTTGCCAGCGCCAAGGGCGAGGCGCAACGCATCTTGGTACTCCTCCAAGTGAAAAAAACACTTGGACGCGACCGACGCCGCCAGTTCCCGATGGGAGAATGCCGTTTCTTCCGACAAACTTTCGATGAACGGCACCGCGTCCGCAATCTCGGCCCAAAAGTAGTCTACGACTTCATGCAGCTTTTGCAGGGCGTGTGCCTACCAGTTCACTTTTCCGTCAGCAAGCACGACACGAGATATGCGCAGCTTGAAACAAATGTTGCCTCCCACAGTGAACATACCCGAATGATGTCGTCGTGCTCGTCGAGCAGTGCAAGGATGCCCGACGCTACATACATGCAATGAGCTCCATCGTGCCATCACAGCGCCATCATTGGGATGAAGAGGCAGGGCGCTTCCGTACCTGTGCTTGCGCGGGGGGCGGCCACGGGTGTTGCGACGGCCAACATGATGATCTTCGCTTCCTACTTTCTGCTGCAGGATCCGTAATCTGGGGCCATGCTCAAAAGACCTCTCACAACACATATTTTCAAACTCAACCCTGTCGCAACGCATATTTTGGGGGTATGAGTGTTGGTCCAAGATTGGAACTACAGTATAATAGTTGGCGTTCATGGACAAGGCATGCGAGCTTCCTTTGCACATGGCCACGGACGATTGTCAAGTCAGTTGAGTAGCATGCGATCCCTCGTCCTTGTGCAGGTTGCGAACTTATGACACAACCACATTGGTGAAGGGAACCTCGACTACCCACCCGCATACCGGTAGAGGCCGGTTGAACATCGACACGATTGCTCTTAGCGTAACATGGTCCGACACCGTGTCTGTATGTATGCACTCCCTTCATAACGTTACGGTAGACACTGCATAATGATACTTGAGGCAATGCATGGCTATATATGTTGGTGCTATTATGTAAGCCAAGCATGGTCAAGAGTCATGCGCCTTGAAACGCACATGTGCTCGACTGGAGGACTCATCATCCCCACTTCTTCCACTGCATGCCGTCCGGCACAGGTCGTTCCTTCTCATAGTCCTTGGTGCCCACTTCGTTCCAGTTGGTGGACAACACGGTGCCGCCCGACGTTTGCTACAGTTTTCTCCCATGAATCCATAGACGACGACAACAAAAATGGAAACGTCGTACAAACGATTTGTTCATGGCGCGCCGCGTGGACTCGTCGGCCTTGGCGTAAATGTCGGCAAATAGCTTTTGCATCGCCGCCTCGCCTTCGGGTTTCTCCTGCTCGAGCTCTTCGGTCAATCTCTTGTCGATTTGGTTCCAATCGCGATTCGACGCGTATGGCTTGGCAGGCACATCTCCTCGTACGATTGGCGCTACACACACATTCAGTACGCACCAAAGTTAGTTGCGTACCTGAAGAAGAAGTGACGGCGGCCACGGCAGCTCTCTCTAGCTGGTCCCAAGGACCACCATCGGCCTTGTTCATCTTGATCTCGACTTTGACGGTGGACACGCGGAACGATGACTCTACCGGGTCAATAGCGCCGAACAAGGGCAAGTCCAGCGCCGTGACTTGCGTGCCGTCGATCGTGAACTTGACCAAGCACTGTATTGCAATCCAATATCATACATATTCTCCACAAAGTGCAATGTGACATACCTGATGCGTGTCGAAGTGCACGACAACGTCACCGGGCTTCAAGTGCTTTTGAAACACAGACACTGTCACATGGGTGGAACTCTGGTACCACTCATGTCTACCATCATGCCAACGTCATATTCCACCACATGTAGAGCCAAATATCATACCGAAAGAGCGGGGCAGCACGCACCACGATGGCGTCACATGCAGGGCTGTTGCAATCGTGTGCTGTGGGTGTATCGAGGGTGCTCGTGTCATCATCCAAGTCTAACGAACGTTTCAGGCTGTAGAACTCATGCTTTCATGTATTTGTACGTTGCAGCGGGTAGGTAGGTAGTACCTTCGATTTCGGCCTCGCATTTACGAATCCACGTCTTAAATCGCGACAATACGTTCTCTTGGTTGCCTGCCAGCTCCTTTCCCTTGAGAAACGACTTGAGCGCTTCGCGGAACCTCTCCACACCAAACAAAGCGACTCCTTGACGATAATGTGCCATGCGAAGGTTCGAGTCCACCTCCAATGCCGCTGAAGCATCGTGCAAGGCTGATTGCAGCTGGTTCAGCTTTAAGTACGCGCCGCTGCGCTTCGACAATGCGTCGGCATCGGTCGGGAACTCCTTCAGAGCTTCCGTGTACTTCTGGACGGCAAGTTCGAACTCTTCCTCGACGAAGTACGCGTTGGCTGCAGCTTTGGCCATCCCAAATTAATTGTATACTACCGGTAGTTACCGGTTTTAGTAGTGTTCGTGGATAGAAAATTGAAATTATCCGGATATTTCGGATAGGCAACCGCAAAGTGACCTTTTGCTCTCGTTCGAAGTTTTCCTTGCGTTTGTTGGAAATTTCGAGAAATCACCTGTCAGTATACCAGCGCGAATAGCATACTACTAACTATACTACGTAGTAGTACGTAGTACTATTTATGTAATGGAATTCGCAAGGTGTCATCGTCCGAGCCTCTTTTCGCCTGAGTGTGGGTAGCCGAATGTTGGTCACGCACGACATTTGAAGAGTGTGACATATGACCTGAATCGGGAATCGGGTGAGGCATTTGTTCCGATCTGATGGTACACTGTACCGATACATGACTTGTAGAGAACAGTGAAGTGAAAGGAGGGAACGGACTGATTGACTGGATAATGAAGTTACTTTTGGATTTGACATCGAGGTCACCGTTGTGACCACAGTAGTCGTCGGTTGCGAACACCGGCACAAGACAACAAAGAATTCTTTAGCGGTCTTACAGACATGCTAGCGACTGAATCATGGAGCTCCCTGGAACAGGAAACGAGCATGCCTGGGACGTGGATCTACCTGGTAGCGACCATGGGGACTCTGTCCGAGCTCGATCCCGGTTGGATAGCTCGACGAGTCCTGCGGGCCGTGCACCGTGTGTCGACCGTTTTGAAGACCGTGGAAGACCCAGGACCAGTGCAACTGCGCGGCAGCTGTTCCAGCCACCACAAGGAAGGCGACAACCGGTGGCGGTTGATGAGGCCTGGAGTTATGGGAGACCGGCGACGTTTGCGGCTCCGGGGTTTGGCGGTACATCCGGGACTTCTGCTGGATCTACGCTGAAAAAGGAAGATGTGGATATGGGACAGAACGACGTGCACCTGCACAACGCCCCGGTCAGGCCCTCCCGAAGAACTCGACGTTCAAGGGATCCACCAAGGAAGAACGACGCATTGTTATGGCCGCGTACAACCTGTATATCGGCCAGACGAATGCACTGACTGCCAACGGGGCCAGACCGTTCATATTGCCCGTGAGGGAGTGTATTGAATCTGCGATGAAGCAACGTATGAGCATGGGAAAGGATCCCGATGACGTGTCCGAGGGCGAATGGATTGCGTGGTTCAAGCAAGGTTACGACGTCGATCCCCGGGCCCTGGACACCCTGAAGAAGCGGATTAAGAAGCGGATTAAATCTGCTGTTGTTCTTGATATGTCAGTCCCGGACGCGGATTCCCCGATTGGACGTATGCTGGATGGTTTGGCTGCGGCTATCCGTCGGGACCGCCAGGAGTGGGTGATCCGGGAAGAGAGCCAGGCGATCGTGAAGATCATCACGGGCGCCGTCAAGCCTGCGGCGCTACACCGTGCTCTTACCGAGTAGATTGTGTTGACGCGAAACAAGCCTTTGAAGAAGGATGTGTACCGTTTCGTGCGCTGGTTGCGGGAATATGCGATCGGTCGCGAGCGTTTTGTGGGTTACGAAGAAGAGTTGAAGCCACCTGCAAGACCAGACCTACCGATCCGCCCGGGTCGAAGGTCCTGGGAGGACCCAGGGGCCCGAGGGGAGACGCGAAGCCCCTGACACCTGTTCCAAACGCACCGGCTATCGGTGCACCGAACAACGGTTGTCTGAAGAGTAAGTCGACCAGCCATCAGGTCCGGGAATGTCCCGGGATCACCCCCGAAGAGGTCAAGCAACTACTAAGAGTACACGGAAGTACGTTCGGACGTGGTCGGAGCGGCGAGAAAGGAGCCCCGGGAGCACCTGGTGGCCGCGTGGCGACGGTGAAGACGGATGTCCCGGACTCGAAACGGCCTGAGCTCTTGGCTATTGTGGACGGTGTCTTTTCCGTGCAGGCATCACTACTGGACTCAGGAGCTGATTTGTCGGTGGCCTCCGGAGGCCTGGTTTCTGCACTGTTGGCTGCGGGAGCATCCCCGGAGATTACAGTCATGGGTCCGATGGAACTCCGACCGTACGGGGCGGTCAGCCAGGTGATTGCTGTGACGAAACAAGTTCACCTGGGTAGCCTGGAATTCAAGACCGCGTGTGGGCCGATGATGTTGCGAGGGCTCCGGGTCTGGGTCGATGAGACCGTAGCACCCGTGTTGAGCTTACGCTGGGCCTGCCCGTGATGCAGAAGTTGGGCTATAATGAGCAGACGTTGCTGGAGAATGCACGTCGGCAGCAAGCCGTATGGGATTTCGGGGATCAGCCGATCACGACTCCAGGAGTCGCGATGCCCCGTACCCTGCGGATGGGAGAGTTGTCAGACGGTATCGACGACGACGAAGGGATGGCGTGTACAACGCCAGAACTGGGAAATACGCCTGACGACGATGGTCCGGTGCGTATTGTTCTGGAAGCCAAGGTGGCCGAGGCGGCTACCGCGGGCATGCCAACAGCAGCTGTCGATCAGCTCCGGGACCTGTTGATGGAGTTTCGGGACGGCTGAAGTTCGGGGGAGACCCGCCGGTGAAAGTGGAACCGTTGAAGGTGCGCCATAAGGAAGGGACTGTGCCGGTGAAGTCGGGACTGCGGCGCTACCCTCCGACCCATATGACGTTCCTGGAAAGGCATGTCTGGGAGCTGGAAGAAGCGGGTCTGGTGTACCGCAACACTAGATCGCGCTAGGCCTCGGCCCCGAGGATTGTCCCGAAGAAAGATCCGGGAGAACAGGATGACGATTGACTCGAGATCGATCAATGCGTGTACCGAGCTGATGCCCTGGCCCATGCCGAATCTGGAGGTGGCCATGGTTGTAGTGAAGGGCTCGAAAGTCTACTTCAAACTGGACTGGATGAAGGGGTATTGGCAGCCTTCCTTACACCCGGTCTCCCAGGAGTACTCCTTCATGACTCCCGTAGGGGTTGTGACCCCGACCCGGGTCCTGATGGACCAGACCGATGCGGTGGCCTATTGCCAAGGGGTGGTCCATGAGTTATTCGGGGACCTCCTGATGCACGGACTGCTCGGATGGTTGGATGATTTGTTGGGGTATGCCCAGACCACGGACGAGTTGTTGCACTTGTTGCAAAAAGTGCATGAGATCTGCCAAGTGTACGGAATGAAGTTACACCCCGGGAAGTGTGTTTTTTACACCACTCGGGCCGTATGGTGTGAAAAAGAGATTTCGGCGGACGGCGTGGCGCATGCCCCGGAACGGATCCAGGGCCTGTGTGATTTGGGGCCCCCGCAGACGGCAGCGGATCTCCAGCAGTTCCTGTGCGCCACGAACTGGATGAGGGGAATATCCGGCAGTACACGAAGCTGGTAGCCCCGCTGACAAAGCTGATGGATATTGCAGCCAAGGCGGCCGACTCCCGGAAGAAAACGGCCTTGACGCGGGTTGCGCTGAGTTCCATCGGGTGGTCCGGGTACCACCTGAGTGTTTCGACCGAATCAAGGAGACGTTGAAACGTATGGTCCCGTTGTCCCACCCAGACCCAGACAAGATGGTCTGTTTGTACACGGACGCGAGCGAGGGGTTCTGGGGAGCTGTTGCGACACAGGTACCGGTCGAGGACCTGGCCCTACCGGCGAGCGACCAGCGACACGAACCGTTGGCGTTCCTGAGTGGATCGTTCCGGGGAGCGAGCGGGCGATGGCCGATTGTAGAAAAGGATATGTTTGCGGTTGTCAAATCGTGCAAGCGACTGGAGTACCTCCTGAACCGTCCGGGAGGTTTCCGATTGTTTACGGACCACCAGAACCTGGTGTACATGTTTAACCCTCTGGGGTCGAACTCGAATATGGCCAAGTACCAGGCCCACAAGCTCGAGCGCTGGGCGCTGACGATGACGACGTTCCCGTATGTCGTGAAATGTGTGGCCAGAGAGGAGAACCTTTGGGCGGATCTCGTGAGTCGTTGGGGAAGTCCTCCTGGACCGGACCGGAGCTTTCCGGTGAAGTCCCGGAGTGCCCGGATATCCAGGCTAGCCCTGGTGTCTCCGTTACGGAAGAAATAATTTGTGTGGCCGACGGCGAATGCGATCACGGAATTGCAGCGCGGTCATCCGACATGTGCAAAATACGCCTCCTGGAGCGCCGAGAAGAAGCCGTAGCAATCGAAGTCGTGGGGATTGCATTGTCGAATGCCACACTAGCCACGTGTTTTGCAAAGTCCGTGAGCCAGGCTTTGCAAAACACGTGGCTTTCAGACTTCTGACTTTCAGTCGTTTAAAAATATCGAACGAAGTTGAAAGCTGGAAATATTACTAAACTTGCAAAATATCTCTATTGTTCCATGAAAAACCAAGCTTCGTCACCTCCAATTGGCCAGCAAATTAGTCGAGGTGAAAGAGCATAATCTGACCATTCTCGACGAATTTGTTGTTGAACTATATGTGTCAAACTTCGCCGAATCGGCGATGCCAAATTCAATACATAATCCAAGTTGATAATTTCCGACGACCATATCTTGGCAATTGACATGACAATGTCGTGCAATGGCAGCAGTTGACACCGCGTTAGGGAGTAAACTGGTCCTATACGTGGTGTGCTTAGCATTTTTGGCGTCCGTAATGGCTACAGAACTCATGTCGTTATACCGAAAATGTATTCCGCAGCGAAAGCAGACCCAGAAGCAAGATGTCATTGCCGTTTGCAAAGTCAAAGTCAGGAGTCGAAATTGCACACCGGCCGGCGGCTGGCCTTGCTGTTCTCAGAACAATGAACACGAGACTGTCATTGTTCTAACCTGGTCCACTGTATCCTCGCATGGCTTTGGCTGGGTTTCTATAAGCAATCCCATTGTTTTCCTTGTGTTTGCTTTGCAAAGGGCGATGTCACATATTGGATGAAAGCAGCACAAAGGTGGGCAAATGGGGTGTTTATGGAGTGCTCAGTTAACAAGCCTCAGAATGACTCTAAGGCTTCACTGCTTCATCGCACTAGCTTAACTAACTGTATCAAGAAGTGACGACCACGAGAGTCAAACAGTCTTCGTCCAATCCTTAAGTCGCGAACGCCCATGAGGAAACGAAGCATCTTAATTGTGTAGGAGGTAATGCTTTCGTCAAGAGGTCTGCAACGATTTCCTTTGTTGGGCATAACCTCAACTTAATTTTTCCCTTTTCTGACAAGTCCCGTGTGAAGATATGACGAATTTCAATGTGTTTCGTAGCTTTATGTGGATTTATCACAATGTCAATCGCTGCCTGACTATCAGTCCGGATTGTGATCGTCTTTATATATGTCTTTAATAGCATGAAAATCCATTCTCGCTCCTTCACGCCTTCACTTAAAGCGATCAACTCTGCTTGTGCAGTTGATAACGACACACAACTTGTTTGCAACTTTCCCATGATATACATATTCCAGCCATTGGGATCAAATATCGAGTAATACTTTTCCGATTCTATATTTGGATCGCAAAGGATGCATCAGTGTATACGTCATAAAATATATCTGTGAAATTTCCTCTATGATATAGTCCATGTTTAGATGTTCCCTTAAAGTATTTAGCACTCACTATCAGTGCAGCATACTAGTAATATTGAGTCTGATTACAACACGAAAGGAACCAATATCTGGACGAGTACCTCGAATAAGGTACTGCAGTGATACGACTATGCCCCTATAGTGAAATGGCTGCTTGTCGATTTGCTCTTTCGACATCTTTGATTCAAGTTCTTGTTCGCCATCCACTAGCTGAGGAGTTGATACTTCTTTTGCATTTTCTTGTCCGAACTTCACCAATAACGTTAAGTCATTGATGTACTTTTGTTGGCTTATTGTCATGGTCTTGGCATTTCTGTCCCTTTTGACCTCCATTTTGAAGATATAATGGATTTCGCCTGCAAGTCTTTCGTCTTGAATCGATTACTTCGAGGTACTCAATTAAACAATTTAATTGATTCATCTCCTCGGATTGTGGTGACACAATGGTCATGCCATCCACATAAACGACGATTATCATCCAATCATCAATAGCGCACTTTTCATTTATCAGCTCATTTTATTCTCCCACTATTTTCACAAGATATGCAATACTCTTTGTCGCTTCATGAAAAGCCAATTGTAGTAATTCATGGAGTACAGCATACAATATTTTTTATGTTTATTTGAAGCCAAATATGCTCTTGAGTAGTTTATTTACCAAGTGTTCACCTTTCGGCCATCGCTTTTGAAAACCAGGAGGTTGATGCATAAAAACCTAAGCATCCAGTTTCCCATTGAGGAACGCAGTTTGAACATCCATTTTTGATGTGCCTCACAACGTTGCACAGTTTCACCAGCAAGTATTGTGCTTTCAAGCAAAATTTGGTATTTTCGGTAGATTCGACGGATCTACCTGAAATCGTCGAGACGTAATTTTTCTTGAACTAATTATACTCCCCGTGACTCCTGTCCGATACAAAGTTGAGCTCTTTATGAAATGGAGGAGTGGCTGTCGCGGGGTTTCACGACAAATCTTTTGGGTAGGTGCGGCGTAGGCAAGCGTGTAAAAAACCAAACGCGTAGTTCAGGGCAAAATATAAAGTCGAGTTAGTTGGTTTAGCATCAAAGAAAAGAGTATGACTAACAAATAATCCAGGTCCAGGGCGTCCGGAGTCTGGTCCGGGATCTCCATAATATAGCTCAGAGTCTTGTCGATGGTCGTCCTGGGCTCAGACCCCAGGAACTAAACAAGTTCAGCAAGGGCGCGGAGCGTAGGACACCAAGGCTAGTCACGGAACGTCCGAATTTTCCCCGCGACATTCTCCCCCGCTTAAGTCCGAGCTCCAGCGAGGACCAGTAGGATCATAGCATGCTGTAACCACACAAAGCAAAGTTCGCCACGACCCGGAGAGTCCCGACGTCACCAACGAAATAGAGAAAGCTGTCGCTGGCAACTCACCGCACGCCCATCTGGTGCTGGTTCGATAGCACCTGCCGCCCCGACGAGCCAGATTGGGAAGTGCTGTTCTTTGATATCCCCATGTTGAGAATCGGGAAGTCCGGCCATATTTCCCCGGGAGATAGCGTCAATCTGGGCCGCAGTGAATACTGGGGTGATATCAGAGTCCGGATGGAGGTCTTCCAGATTCGAATACCCAGTCCAGGTACTCCCGACGGTTATAGCACTGACAGTCCCGGCCCCCGAACACGCCATAACCGGGTACAGACGACCTAGCACCTGGTTTGAGTCTCGAGAAGGGGCTTCTGGCTCCTGAGCGTCACTTGGCTCTTCCGGGAAGGTGGCTAATTTGCCTCGGACCCGTGACTGGGTCCAGGACAGGACGGAGGCGGCACCCCGAGGTGCCAGAGAATCTCCGTCAGGCGACGCACTAGCGTCGCTGGTGTTCGGTTCAGTTTGTCGACACGAACTTTCTTCGTTTGAGGGTTCTGCATACGTGCCCTTCTCGTCATCGCAGGGTTCTGTGTGCATCCTCTCCTCTTCCTTGTCTTCGCTCCCGTCCGTTTGTCGACGCGAGTCATCCCTGGCGCTGGGTCCTGTGTATACGCCCGTGGTCCCGGAGGTCTCTTCATTTGTCTCGTGTCTTCCAGGCGCCTCATTGCAGCCCCTCCTACGTCTGTCTGTTGCCGTAAGGTTTCTTTCGTTCCCGGAGCTCCAATCGTCCCGCCTCCTTCTATGCCCACGGAGCTGTCTTCCGGGAGGGGTACGGGACGTGGTTGCGCACCCGGCATGTGCCTCTCGTCGGAGAGAGGTAGTATCGTGGCTTCTGTCTGAATTCTCGACGGAAAGATTGCCGATGCCATCCAGCTTGGCCTCTCCCCTGCGCATGAAAGCGAACTCCCGCGTATTTTGGATGATCACGCCGATGTCTTTCACCTGGAGTTTGGGCAAGACTTGCTGGTGGATGTCGAGCCGTTGAAAGTACGGCTGAAGGAAGGAGCGGTGCCTGTGAAGTGTGCGTTTGTTATCATCTTCGGAGGTCATTCGCATTCTCGCGGTCACTGCCACATAATATCCGGCGGCTGGTTCCGACGGCCGAGTCCTCATTGTTTATCGGAGTCGGGGCTGCCTTCCGTGGATTGCTTGTTGTCGGATATATACCAGGATTGCAGTGCAGCAACGACGTGGGCCGGCATAGAGCTCTGCTTGGACGCGTTCAACGGACAACCCCAGCTCAAGTGGCCCATCTTCCCACAGGTGTAACAGGTTGCATTTCCTCCTTGTCCTCCCGGTCCTGATCGTCCTCCGGGGCTCGTTCGGGTTTGTCCTCCGTTGTCCCGGGATAGGCTACACTCCTATAGTTCGTGACCTTTGGAGAGGTACCGAGTACAGAACCACGACGACCGAGGCACTGTTCACGAGAGTGGCCCCGCATGGTACACCTCCCACAAATGACCGCACCCGACTTAGTTTCGTCGTCCGAAACCATGCAGATGCGGGACTGTACCGGTTTGTTTCATGTCCGGTTGTCCGTAGAGATCATGGCAACGACAACTTGGATGGAGGAAAACTGGTCGTTGTTAAAGGTAGCCAAGCTCGTCATGTCCCGTTGAAGTCGTGAGATGGAGTCCGGGGCGTGCTCCGAGCTGACCTAGTCGACGTCGACGGAGCAACCGATCGGGAACCATCCATTCGTCTGTCGATGCCCACATCTCGCTCAATCAGGTAATCCAGGCTGATTTCGATAGTCTCAGGGCGAACAGAGGCTCCCCGGAGGCATACGGCCACCTCCGCATCGCTACATCCATTGACCATCATAACCACGGTCCTATTGACCTGCAACCCAGCCTTCCGGGAGGCGTCCGCAATCCGCCACGCATACTCCCAGATGGTTTCTATAGACTTCGGGCGGGAGTTGTCGGGAATCTCGGCCACCTTTCGACTCAGTGTCTTCTGAATGAACTCCTTCCGGAAAGCCTCCCGAGCCTCCACCCAGGAGACTGGTTCGCTGTCACGGCACCGTCCAGCCCACCAGTCCTGGACGGAAAGTACCTCGCAGGATGTCAGGCGGTCATCGAATATTTGAACGACCTTGGTGTCGTTGAGCCCGTACTACTTCTGGATGATATCGAACTTCGCCAGAAAATGTTCCAAAAGGGATGGTCCGATCGACACTATCGAAATTGGGAGCGAAATTCCGAGCATCGGACATGGCCTGACATGACGCTGGTGGGCACTCCCGGGGTGAATTGGGCTGTCCGGGACCAGTGCCGTCCCCACCGGGTCCGGCTCCCGGAGGGCCAGGAGGACCACCATAGTACCCGCCGGATCCTCCATGTGCGGGTCCTCCACCACCAGGAGGTCCTTGAGGGTCACCGCGGCCCCGAAGGGTGCACCATATCCACTTCCAGGAGGTGCGAGAGGATTCGTTCGACCCGAGTAACCACCCCCGTAGCCGCCTCGGGATTCTAAACCTCCACCACGGGGTTCCGGACGATAGGGGGCCGGAGGGGCATACCCCGACCCGGTGTCACGAGGGGATGGCTGCGTGTACCCTACTCTGACCGGCTGGGCATAGGCCCCTGAGGACGGGTACGAGCCGGCATCGCGGTTGGGTCGCGACATGGAAGCCGTCGTCAGTACAAATGGTAGCGGCAACCCGGACCGTAAACGTCGGTGGCATCTGTCCAGGACTGTAAACGTCGGTGGTATCCGGAGCGAAGCTAATTCTGTCAGCACCTCAGTCTGCTGCATAAAACAGGTTTGGTCGAAGGCTCGGCAGGGCGTAGACGTGTTTGAGCGGGTGGCCGGGAGCAAGGCCGCCGTAGTAAATATAGTATGCATGACCCCGCTTCATTTAGACAGGGACCCCATCCGAGACAGAGTCGGGATCCCATATGTCGCGTACGGGGCATTGTTCGTCTTCCGGGGCGTCGTTTGTTGGAGTTCCACAGCTTTTTCTTCCACTTGTAGCTGGACCCACTGGCGTTCCAACTCCGCATACGCCTGGCTCAGGGTGAGGTACTGAACCGACCGTTCCCTGAACAGGGTAGGTTCTTGATACCACAAATGCAATTCCTCCGTTTCCAAACAAGTGGGCGCTTCCTCTACTTAGCGCAGCACCTCTTCGTTGGCGTGCCTCTCCCGTTCCAGCTGATCCCGTGTCCAGGGCGAGAGATCTTCTCCGGACTGAGTGCGTTCTTGAGTAAGTGTCATGAACTGCTCCTGGACCAACTGTTCAAGATCCCGAGCGGCGTCCTTGTTCCGAGAGCAGGGTCTGTTCATACCGATTCTGTTCGGTCAGGATAGACTCCTGGAGCTCCCAGACCGTCTCTTCGCTCCGCAGAAGGCGTTGTTGCTCTTCTTCCGAGACTCGTTCCATCCTTTGGCGTCGCTGTACTTCCTCCTCCAGAATTCGTTCCCGTTCCCGTAGGTCCTGCTTTTCCTTCTCCAGGATCGGGCAGACGACGTTCAATTTCCACAGACGAGAGGTCCCGGAGGGCGGATCGGAGGGCCTCCTGTACTGACTCGAATCCCAATGCCTTCGACCGGGCCTCGTCCTGGGCCGAAGCCAGGTTCTGGTCGTACTGGGACTGGAGTAGGTCATTGGCAACCCCCTTCGAGTTGTCCTCGTCACGGGTAGCTTCCCGTACTAGAAGGATTTCCTCTTGATGGTTCCGCTTGAAGGTCCGGAGTTTTTCCCGGAGACTGGAGATGAGGCCGCCTTGACGCAGACGGTCCTCCTTGCGGCGCACTTCGAGAACTCGTTCCGCATACTTCTGGACCTAGGACAGGACTTCTTCATGCAGAGGGCGGCTACCAGGAGTTCGGAGTCCTTGTCCCGTACCAGGAGGCCTTCACGTTGTTCGCATTTCAGAGCCAGTTGTCGTTCAAGTTCCCGGGCCCGGTCCTCCCAGGAGAGAGAATTCTTTTCCGCTTCCCGGTGCAGAGTCTCGTTCGCTTCGTTGGTTACCTGAGCCCGGGCAACTTCCACCCCCCGAGTATAGCTGTCCCGGAGGTAGGTCAGGACCTTCTGGAACTCATCCTGACGGTGACTTTCATCGGTTTCCGCGGCCCGTGGCAATCCATCGGCCATCTCTACCAACTGGGAATCCTGTACACCCAGTAAGCGAGCCCAGTCCTCGATGGCTTGAAATGCAAACAGTAGGGACACCGCTAGTTTTTGCACTTCACTGCCCCGAGTGAATTCTTCATAGGCCTCCAGGATGTCCCTTATCCTTCAGGTGGCCACCGTGATCGTGGCTAAGATGGTATTCCCAGGTACTCCGGGACCGTTCCAGGTAGGCGTTCCCGATAAAACGCAATGTCCGCGAGGAGTCGCATGTTGGACTCGATGCTGTCAAACCGATACAAGTACACGCGGTTGAGGGTACCGGACGTTTCTTTGGGTTTTCGCCACCCCATATCCCCGTACCGCTCTTGGACTAGGGAGGTGTATCTGGGAGCTGGGACAGGTATCGAATAAGGTTCTGGTCAGGGTCAGGGTCGGACAGTCAGTACCGGTTCTGGCCAGGGGAGACGTAGGCACTAAGGCCAGGTCTGCCTCCGATGCCAGCGTCGGTCTTTTCAACGGTGACCGCGTCTCTGGACGGTCGGTCGGGGGCGTCACGCGCGGCGACCCAGCCGGAGTCGATACTCGCGCACCATCATCGTCTTCCAACGGGGCCAGACCCGTGGCCATAGGCTACTTTCGTAGTAGGCGTGATAGGCGCACCGCTGTCGTCGTGGGTTCTTCTGTCGACATCTTTCCTTTCTTCTTCCGCGTTTCCTTTGCAAACACCTACCCTGATGCTCCACCAGAATGTCGCGGGGTTTCACGACAAATCTAATGGGTAGTGTGGGGTAGGCAAGCGTGGAAAAAAAATATACGCGTAGTTCAGGGTAATAGTTAGTTGGTTTAGCTTCAAATAATAGAGTATGACTAATAGATAATCCAGGTCCGGGAGCTCCATATTATTGCTCAGAGTATTGTCGATGGTCGTCCTGGGTTCAGACGCCAGGAACTAAACAAGTTCAGCAGGCCTCCCGGGGCGCGGAGCGTAGGACATCAAGGCTAGTCACGGAACGTCCGTATTTTCCCCGCGATGTAGCAATGTACTCGTTTCTCTAAGAGTACTCATGAGAGTCAGTCGTTTTGAGCAGTTCCTCTCAGGCCAACTACCAACAATCCACTGCAGTTAGTCGTTGTTCGTTGTGTAAAGATCGTAAAATTGTCATCACCGGCTCCTGAGTTGAAACTCATGGTAGTATACGCATTAGCATCAGACGGCTTGTCGAAGCTAATATGAACGCTCTTGGCTACTAGTTTGGTAAACCATTGTATAACCAACATTGCGAATGAGCCCGGGCAGACCAACATTTCCTGGAGACCCAGGGCACCCCGGGTTCCCTGGGTATCTTGATTGCGTTTCAACAGTGGGATCGGATGTTGGAAGCGTTGTCGATTGCGTGTTAAGGGTGGGACTTGGTGCTGGAGATGTTGTTGGTTGTTCCGAGATGCTGGTCATGGGTCTACACTTTCAGCAACAATCATGCCCTGGGATCACTTGTTACAAATCAGGATTTGTTGCAATGTCCGCTGCATATGCGAGTTCATATGTTTGGGCGCCACCGCAGTCAACATGGCGCCGGAGGTCTGAGCTGCTCAGCAGCCGCTGCAGATGAAAGGGATTTCGACCAATTGCGATCCGTGCTTTGGTTCACAATCGCCGACCATGCCTAGCCCTAGAGGCGTGACGACAGCATTGGCAAGCCTCGACCAGATCGACGGGGGAATATCCACGGCGCGTCACTCCACCCCCACGTCTCCCAGCCTAGAGGTCACCACGCATTCCCCGGGTTCTCTGGGTTGACTGCTCAACCCCATGTGTTCCCGACCTTCCCCGCTACCCCGGCTTTCCCCGGGTTGCCTGACGAACATTTGACTCCTCCCCGACCACCCCTAACATCCCCTTGTGTGCTCCGTCAATGATCTTTGCTCACTGACGTCAAGCCTCCGAAACAACCCTCGATGTCTTATAATTGTGAGCCTTAACATGATCACAATTGGTGCGCTGCCGGGAGGAAGTTTCAATGGAATCACCAAGGAAGTACACAATCCCCCCCAACACCGTATCAAGAAATGGAAGGGTCAGCCGAAGATCGTGAGATAGAAATCACGTTAAAAGAAGAGCTTGCATCGGAACAAGCGGCCAAACAAGCTCGTTTGAAAGAAGAAATGGAGCAAGCTCGTCTGAGTGAATTGATCCATGGGTACAACGTGGTTTCGAACAGACGACAAACAAAATTCGTGACCGAGTCATTCAAGAACCGAGGAAACCTGTACGGGGGTATGGATTTCCGAACGACCAGTTGGAACCCAACATTTCCCCCCATCGACCAAGCGGGCATACGATTCGCAGCATCCGTTTTGACGCAACCAGAAGCCAAATCCAGCAAAGGGGGCACGATCTCCTCTTCTCGACCCAAAGACGAGAAAGGATGGAAAGTCAGGATGAACACCATGAAGGCGAGGATCAAAGCGATGCACCTGGATGATCAACCAACGTTTTTCGAGAAAGTATTGATCGACCTGATGACCTATGAAACCAACGCCTAGACAAAATTCCTCCAGCCGGAGTTTGGCACATGGAGTGATGGAATCAAGCGCGCCTCGTTGGATACTTTAGCCCCCCTCCCACTACAAAGAAATGACGCTGGACGAATGCCGTATCTGCCTTTCCCGGCTGGAGAATGTGTTCCGACTGCTAAATATCAAGATCAGAGAAGCGGAAGACGACGAAGTCTATACGTGGTATTTGGAATCATACTTGGTGGGCGCGGGCTCTCGAGAATACCTGGCACTCAACCAAAAACTCGTCAAGATGATATCTCTGCTGCACTACGTAGTTAAGTACAGCCAAACCTACTTCCGTGAGTCGCGAGCGGCTTTGTGGATTCATGAAAACACCGACCCATCCGCGCCTCGAAGTGCGGAGTATATCCTCCCACTCCCACGTTACTGACACAGTAAACGACTCCCGAAGCCCCAGTCTAACGTCGTACTTCAAGAAGCCCGAACTCGAAGGATCATTCACTTACGAACAAGCGTCTCAAACTCGCGAGCGGCATCACATGAAATGGTGTACCGTAACTAGGCAGAACAACCGGTTGATGTAGGGCCGTCAATCAAGAATGAGTCAGTCACACCGAGTCGACGCAGCTCTGCCCAAGCCTCCATTGGTACGAGAGACACCATGCAAAGTGCGGACCCGGTGCTACCACAGACCACAGTTGACATGGAGGCTTCAATGTTGGAGAAAAAATTGGACCAGAAGATGGAGGGCATTCGGTCCACGTTGGAAGCGTTGATGGCAAGCCTTCCAACAACTGCATTACCTCGTCCTTCACCAAGCCAGTCGCAGAACCGATAAAGCGTTTCTGGTAACCCGAGGTCCCCTGGTGACCCTGACCACGCGGGGGGTGCCGGCAACATAGGTCCGAACTTGACTGTCGGAAACCTCGACGGATCAAGAGTTTCTAACATTTCTCATTCCAACTCCGCCAACTTATCGACAGCATCGAACGTCAAGACGTATACGTTGGAAGAACTACGTGATATCTTCAACCAATTCGGATTGTCCACAGGCCAACAACACCTCCCTCAAAGTCTTCCTCATGGATTACAGCAAAACCAAAACCACAATTAAACCACCACCATGGATCGACCTACAAGCGCTGGAAGCTTGGAAAGTAGGCCCCAGCAAGGTGCATGAATGCAGCCAACCAGAGGAGGACGAGGTATCACATTTCAAGATGGAATGGACTACGAACCCTCCGACAATTTCTTTGGTGACCCAGACCCCCCAGGGAACTCAAGGAACCCGGGGAAACCTGGGGAAGACGGAAACCCTGGGTACGGCGGGGACGATGAAGGCCTCTGGGATAACTTATCGTCTATGGGACATCAAGTGGCTATGCACGTGCTATCCATGGACTCTGCCCGTCTTCTCCGGCATCAGTAAGTCACTTGAATAATGTATGCCTGATATGGGTGACAAAATCCTCAGAACATGAATCACCTTACTACACTAGTACAGTATAGTAACCGAGGTAATGTTGAAGTCTCGTCAACGTGCAATGATTGGTTGTATTACTACATACTACTAGTACAGTAGTACAGTCGTACTATTAATAGTACTCCGGAATATAACACATGATTTTATGTTGGCGTAGGCTCCTGCGTGCTGCCCACTCCACTCAACCAATCGAGCTTTGAAATTTCGAACCCACAATAAGACCTACGTAAACTTGAAGCGCGGCGTTGTCCCGGCGCAGCATGAGGCGCTCTTCCGAGTGCACAGACTGCGGACTGCTCGTCAATCTACCGCTTACTCCAGTGTTTAAATTCGCTCGGTAGCAGCATGTACGATACTTTCGCAGTTATTTTTCAAAACCTCAAACCTTTAGAACATTACTATAACAACTTATCATTTTGTGAATTGACAGTCAACGATTTTGCAGAAATTAACAGTAAAGGAAGGCTTCAGATGCGCGCACCGTATTACTGTGATAGTAGTATCATTATAGCACTATTAATACTTCAGTGTCGTCGAACGTGGGACCGATTGTAATCATTGTTTACGTATGTATTGTGGGGACTCCACTGAAGCATGTGACAACGTTTGATTGAATACGACACACTCGAGCTATCAGTGAAACGTTTTTCGTAGGTCGTGATTTGTAGCGATGTGGTAGGTGGGGGTAACGCCTTGACACCACCTTGCCCGCACCCAGCTCCTAAGTACCTGGCTCATGACGCACCCTAGCTAATGCTTGCCTGGGAATGTGTCTCAAGGGCAAGTATGGCTTAGAATCGCTAGCCTCGTGAAGTCCCCCAATGTCTCAACCGCACCCGCATCCATTGTATACAAAAGTGCATATTAGTGTAGAAGTAGTGAAGTAGACTAAGAAGATTTCATAGTGATGAGAATTAAGGAGGTCTTTGTAGATCTTCAGTTAATTCATTGTGCATTTTGCCCTCAACTACACACGCTTCCTCCCGCAGTGCTACAATTGGTAGCACTTCCTGGTTCCCTCGCCCAAGCCCCGTCAAACCGCTGTATGTAGCCAGTGCTCTTAGACGGTTGCTGTGGTCGTTTGCAGAGTCAACACATCACCAAAGGTTTTTAAAAACGTGGCCTTTGCCACCCGTTACCTGGTGATAGTCTCAGCAACAAAATCCATACACATTCTGAGTGATCTGCTAGTGTATGCTCCGTAGTAAGACCCACAAGCCCCAACTCGCGGCCACAAAAGACATCGGCGAACTATTCGACTATCCGGATCTGCCGGTTAAGCTGCGCCAAGACCTTTGCGTGTTAACCCGTCACCAACGCGTGGTTATCAACAAGTTGCGTACCCAGATCCCAGACGCGAAGAACTCCGACGCCCGCAACGCTATCCAAGAGATCACAGACTTATTGATCCACCGGAACGACCAAACCGAAGAACTGATTGAAGGAGTCCTCGACCGCAAGATACAAGTGTACCACAAGGCCCGCAAGATCAAGGCTGAAGCGAGAGTAGATCGAAATTCGAAGTAGAGTAATTGAATTTCACCAGAATTACAAGATGGATGAAGTTTTGCGCACAATGGCAGAATCCTTTCAGCAACATGAACAGCTGTTGGATATGCTTACCCGTACCCAAGCCGCTCAAGTGGAAGCGAGCGAGCGAATGGCCAGTCAACACATCGAACGAGCGACACGGCAAACAGAGCTTAGAGTTGAAGGATTAAAAATGCCGAAGTATTATGGACGAATGGACGAAAGTATTAGCCTATACATCCACCAAGTTACGACCCTTTTCAAGGCAAAAAACGTGGATTACCAAGAAAACGATGGGACTCAACAGCGATGCATTGCCATGATGGTGGCAAATTTCCGTGGCCTTGCCGCAGCCTGGTATCAAGTACGGCTTTCGCGCGGTGAGTTGAGTTTGAACCCGACGATTTACAAGATCGGCTGCGTGATCAGCTTTACGAATTGAAGCAAGCCCACTGTGCGAGCTTGACCGAGTATGTTGCCAAGTTCCGACGAATCTGTACGCAAGTGTGCGACATGACCGAGCGCGACAAGGTGTTCTGGTTCCAACGTAGTCTGCGAACCAGAACTCGTGAGGAGTTGCAGTATCGTCGTTGTGAGACTGTGACTCTCGCGATCCAAGTTGCCCTGGACTATGAACGCTTCCTCAACTCGACCCTTAATGCTGGTCACGCCAGAGACCGCGACCGCTTTCATCGCCACGATTGCCGCCCGCATCAAAGATTTCAAGATCGCCGCCATCAGTTCAACAACCGACACCAAGGAAGTCGCCCACCGCATTCGTATCCTCCACGCCAGCGCCAAGATGACGACATGGAAGTAGACAACGCCCAAGTACAACACCGTGGACTGTGGCCCATGCGTCCGCAGTTGTAACAACGCCAAGTAGGCCCCTGTTACAACTGCGGACGCATGGGCCACAGAATCAGTGACTGCCGCTCTCAACCCCGGAACAATCAAGGAAGAAGCCAAGCTCAACCCCAGCGCAACAACATCTCAAGACATGCCAACCGGCCTCAGCGACCCCAGCGCAATACACCAAGTCGTCAGCACAATGCCCAAGTAACCGAAGTCAACAGCGACACAGAAGACAGCGAAGATGACGTAGAAGAAGTGATCCTAGGCAACAACATGGACCTAGCCCAGCAAGACTCCGCGGAGGAGGAGTCACTTAACATCAATACCGCCCAGCAAGCAAGCCAGGTGCCAACGCGTGAAAACAAGTTGATGATAGTTCACGGCGCACTCGACAGCGCAAGCGTTCGCATTCTGATCGACTCTGGTGCCTCGAACTTGCTTTGCCGTCTAGGCTTGGCCAATACAGTGATCCGTTCCAAGGAAGTTCAAGCAGAAGGCTTCGATGGTCACTGATTAAGAAAGTGAAGGAAGTATCTGGCACACTTTGCTTTGGTCAATGGACGTTCCCAGATCTCATACTTATCGAGTGGGATCTCAGGAAGAAGGACTTTGACGTCACATTGCGAAAACCCTGGTTCTTTCGTTGCAACCCTGTCATCGACTGGCGTACCCACCAAATCCTCAACGTCAACTCAAGTGAAGTCGAGCCTGAACGAATCGAAGGATGGATGATCAAAGTCACGACGAAAACGGAACCTCAGCAGAAGTTACACCCGCTCGTGGCCAGAGTTGTGGATGAATTTCGTGACGTGTTTCCCG